CAAAACTAAGAAAAAAAATCCTTTATAGTTATACTTTAAGTATATACAAAATACCTCTATAAGTGTCAAATAGTGAATGAAAATAGCATAAAAAAAAATCACACATATATAAATTCCCTTCTTCCACCAATAAAAAAAAAAGACAGCATTGTCTTTCTATTGGTGGAAGAAGGGTATTTATATATGTATGTAATTTTTTTTTTTTTTGTTTAGACTTTGTTCACATATAGGCCTTTGAAATTGCCAAGATTCTGCCAGCAATTTCAAAACACCACTAGATCTGATAAAATGGGCCCTGATATGGAAGGGAGGAACCAGTTTCTTGAGGGTATAGTCATTGGAAATAAGCAGCTTGAGCCACCTAGCAATGGGAAAAAAGAGGTTCGTGGGACCTTCAGATGGGACAGAAAGGGACTCAGGTTTTCTGGTGGGAGATGTTGCAGCTAGGTAGACCCGAACAGCTATGTCAACATCTTGACACAGGAGTGAAATATCCTTGGTATGCTTTTTTTGGCAGGACATAAGGAAGGGAGGACAAGATCCTCATTAAAGTTAAAGGAAGAAATTACCTTGAGGAGAAAGGAGGGCTGTGTCTCAGGACCACCATGCTCCTTACTTACAAGCAAGAGCTGATAACTCAGAGATGCAACTGATGGAGGTAGTGTCTATCTTACTCTTACCAATGGGATATTATGATTAGGTTCAACAGGGTGGTTTTTGAAGAACTGAAAGTACCAGATTTAGATCCCAGGGAGTCACAGGAGGGTTGAAGTGGGGATTAACATAAGCAACCCCTTGTAAAAAGGGTCTTGACTAGAGAGCGTGAAGCCAAAAGGTTTCTGGAATAGAGTTGGTAAGACAGAAACTTGTCATTTTAGAGTACTAAAAAACAGATTTTGGTCCAGACCAGACTGAAGGAAAGCCAGGATGCAAGGAATAAAATATTCTCAGGGTTGAGGTGCCTGCTCTTGCACCAGCAAACGTAGGGCCTCCAGGTGCAATGGTAGATCCTTTGAGGTAATTTCTGACCTAGAGGTGGGAATGATGGTCAGCAATGTCCCTGTCCTTTAGGACCTGGGTTTCAATAGAACACAGAACCCTGTGACAGTGTTCTAAATCTAGAACTAATATACAATAAGCATCTCTTGATTCCCAACATCATGAAAGATTAAAGCTCAATTCTAATTTTTTACCTTTGTTTGTTTTTTTTTTTTTTTAACAAGCAGAACATGGAAGGAACAGAACGTCTGTCCAGTTTTTTAGATTTTCCCTCACTCCCTATATAATTTGACAAATGTTAGAACAGAAAGTGAAAACCTCTATCAAACATGACAGTTTAATTTTTAGTGGGAGACTGTTAAAACCTCAATTGAGTGATTTTTATACAATCTCTACAGTGGGGGTACAGACAGCATTTAAAATTTGACAGCAGTTCTGCTGTATACTCATTACCCATCATTAAAGGACAAATTCTCTTAGTGAAAGCCTACCTGGGACAATACTTCCCTTTCTCCTAAATCCAGCAGTCTTTTCTCCAATTTAGTTCTGGCCAACTTCACGTCACAAACACCATGGCCTTTTTAAATGCCTATGGTTAAGCCATACTGTGCTTCCACCATCAGTATGGCATACTTACAGCAATGCATTTTGAAAAAGGGGCTGACCAAAACAATTGTTGGATTACGAAGAAAGGCAAGTATTATCCCAGGTGTGCTGCACCTAAGGAGCAGCAGAGTGTATTAAAGAACAACTTCACAAAAGGTAGTAGTCATCCTTTAAAAGGAAGCTTTTCATAATAACAATAGTCTGCCATTTCATTAGAAATGAAAAGACCCAGAACATTTTATTCTATTTAATTTCAATTTTTGTTCTCTGCAGGTGCCTTGTGAAATGGTTAGAGGTGCGTAATGCTTGTCCAATGTGCAATAAAACCATCTCTGTGCCAATACCAAGACCCTCTTTGGGACACATGTGAATGTACAGTTCAGTTCTTTCTATAGATCAGTTGCAGATTCACAACTATAGGGATAAGGAATGGAACATGTACTAACAATCAGTGGCTGTCAAAAACAGTTGTACACTGGCATAGCAAGGGCAAGATAGATTTGATCAGCTGTGGCACAGACAGCTACATGGGCTATTTGGGGTGACAGCTATCTGGATAGGAGACATTGCTTCTTCAATGAAAGCTGTATATGGAAAACTGCATTACATATCAATCAGTTCGTATTAAACTACAGCCAAAAATAGATTAATAAACTATGAAGAGACACACAAGGGAACCTGAGACATGACTAAATGTTGAAGTTGGTTGCAGGGCTGAAAATGCAGAATGCAAAAACATGGTGTATTTAGAGTAAGGAAAATGAAAGCTGTATTTTAGAAATTGAGAACACAGGAAGTGCTGTAAGGAAACATGGTCAGATAACGGCAAATATTTTCCTAAAAGATGGATGTAATGTCAAAAATATAGGAGGCTGTTATTGCTGTCCTGCCTTCTGAAAATTATTAATTTGGTTGTCCTGCTTTCCCCAATTCCATATACCGTATTATATAGATTTTGTATGAAATTATGTGACTTATTTAGTATAATATTTTAATGAATCTTTTTAAATTATGGCATATTTGTCAGCCTATAATAACACTCGCTACCAATTTGTAGGATTTTTTTTTTTTTTTTTCCCCCTTTATACTGAAATTGTATCTTGCAATTCTAGTATTAAACATATGGACACTGCCACCTTCTGGTTGCAGTAGCATTTGCAGGTTTATATTGTTAATGAAGCCTCCAACCTGCTTGTAACCACTATGTCATAACTGACATAACTAACGCCGAAATCACATGATTGGTTCCCAGTTGATAGCAGGAACCAGAGCTATTAGTAACAAATCCTGATTTCTCAAAAGGGAGGACTTTTCTTAGTGTAGCCCCAGCTCACGGAAATGTGCTAGCAAATGTTTATGTGCAGATTGCAGGTGGAAAGGGGTCATTGCATTGTCTTCAACCTGGAAAGAATAAAAAGATCAGGAGTTCAAACAACCTTTTGACTTGTGCTTGATCTAGGTACATGACCCAAAGCATTAAAGCCAGAGACAGCCAAGACATCTTGCATTTCAGGAGCAAGACCTCAATGGTAGCCTACAATTTTCAGCAGAGGTTACGTTTAATTGGGCAGACTTCCCAAGGAACAAAATATGCGGATGATGTTTGAGTTTAAGAAAGTTCAGGAAAGTAGACAAGCAGTTAGAAGGAACAGTGCACAAAATGGATTGCCAAGTTATGTGTTTGGATCGAATTAGTCTCATTATAGATAATCATTCTGCAGCAGAAGCAATACACACATCATGAGTAGTTTGTGTATTTACTCAGGAAGATGCCAGTTTTTCTGTTTACAGATCTTTTATGTACAGTGCTCCAAGTTCAGAATGCAGGTACTACAGAATATTTTTAAATTCATAGGGGGTTAGGCATTTATGTTGCGCTTTTTTTGTCCACCTATACTAATTATTTTTGTTTTACTAATAGAATTGACATTTTAGCGTTTTTCATAAAAACAACATGTAAATTCTAATGTGCACAGACTATTTACTACATATAGGATTTTTTCCAGTGTGATGGTAGAAAAAAAAAAGTCTGCTTACAAAACGATGCATTTTTATATGCACTGGATGTAGAAGTGTCCACTTTGTTCAAGCTGAGGAGGGTAGTTTATTCCCCCCCCCCCCCCCCCCCCCCCCACACACACACACTTTTGTGTGACAAGGGGAGAGCAGCTCATATTAAATCCTATCAACAGCATCCGCCTCAAGACTTTCTGGAAACAGTTGTCTTGCGCCTTCCCAGGACTGGGACCAATGGATAAAAAAAAAAAAAACCATCCAGACAATCCACAAAAGATATCCTCAAATTATATGTATTGTATAAAAAAAAAATGAAAAAAATAAACAAAACTAGAAACAGATCTCAACTATCATTCCTATAACATATGCACATCTTCTGGATCTCATCATAGAAATAAAATTCAGTAAAGGCAAGAACAATATTCTTCAAAAAGAATGTTATTTAATTAGCTTTGTACTACTGGTTTAGTAGATGTGCACAATCTCATCTTTAACGTTTTGTGTATCATTTTATGTTCAGGGGGATGCAAAGATAGCAAAGCCACTGCCAGGGAAAGTATAGTGGTTTTTAAATAGTCTATTTCTCTTTTTTGTTTAACCCTTATACAAATTATAAAAAAATTTTTTTTATTTATAACTTGTATAACATTTTCATTTTACAAATATCAAAGAACCATCATTGCCTGCATGCATGTTTGCAAAATATGTATAACTGTAAGACACAAAGTCCTTTTTCTTTAACACTGAGCTTTGTAGCTACAGCAATTATGTAGTGCTAAAGTTCTGCCTCCACTGGCTGCACTTGTCCTAGATCTGTAGTGTAAGTCAACGTACTAAAACCCAAGACAGCTAGACAACAAGCATTTGGAGGAGGTCAGAAATAGCAACTTATATTTATCTTTTAGAACATGTTACCCTTAAGTAAAAGTTGGTGCTGTAGCCTAGAGCTTGCTGCTATATGTTGTCAATAAAATAATGGCAGCACCCACCATTGCTCATGTAATCTTGCCCTTACAAATTTTGAACTTCCCATTGGACATTAAAATGTAATGTATGTACGCCACAAAATTTTATTGTGACATTTGAAACTGAATCAGCAATGTACAAAATGCCACTGATAACATAAATAAAAAAGTTCCATCCTGGAAGTTCACTGTCTTTTTCCTCTGCTTGGTTTCTGAAATTCTGATGAACATCTGAATCTCATTTTATACAGACAGCAGAAATCCTAAGGGAAGCAAATATATAAAACCCATGTGATTTACACAGCCACAAAAACAAGTCTCTTAGGGAGGAGTATACATAATGGGTGTTTGCCATTTTTCACATCTGTACAAAGTAAAAAAAAAAAAAAAAAAAGTCCTTCAGAGCAGACAGCTCTAGCTTGTGCCCACAGAACTCTTGGATTCAACATATTGCAGAGCCTTCTCCTTCACAGCCTGAACAGTCTTCTCACTGCCATGTTGTTTCTTCTCATATTCCAGATAACGCTTGAAGAAAAATTTGATCCTTTTTGCTGCTAAACTAAGGTGGATAACTCGCTCAAATATATCTCTGCAAAGAAAAAGAGTAGGAAAATAACAGTGTGATAAAATAGAAACATAGGAGGGTAAAGGGGCAAAAAAGGAACAAGTGTATATTGAGTTTGCACCATTTTTTTTTCAACTGTTTTGGCTGAGTTTAGATTTATGTTTACATCCACTTACTGTTGACTGACTCACTACCTCTGCTATAAGTCTATTCAAAATATCAACTACTCTTTAGGTAAATTATCACTTTATAAGGTTATTTTTTAACTTTCCTCTTGCTTTTCATCAAGTCTGTATATATTAAGCTCATGCAGTCTCAATATGTTTTATCGCTTTTTGTTGCCCATTTCTGAAATCGTTCTATCTCATCAATATCTTTTTGTAAGTGAGCTCTCTGTAACTTTACACAGTATTCTAAATAAAGATATTATGTGTATAGTTTGAAGATTCTTTAACATCAAGAACTTTGTATCATAATTACTGATGCTGGCATGTTGACCTGAGATTTTTGGTTACTACCACCTTCCTGTAGCATTTTGCACATACAGTCCAACTGGGAGAGTGGGAAGCCCCATATTGACCACAGCAGGTCTGACCCAATAAGTCAATTAAAGAGATCTGACGGACAGTCTCTTAGAATTAAATCCCCTAAAAATGTCTTATCTCTATTATTTACCAAAATATTAGCTTTGGTTAGACAAATCTTATTTAAAACAAGTGTGCTTCCTATAAATTAAGGAAGATTGTTGTTTAAGGCTGGTTACCCATATTTCAACATATTGTTTCTCATAAACCTATATTATCAAAAGCATAGTGGCTTGTTGTATAGTCAAAAGAATATAAAATGTCCATTCAGTATCAGTGACCCTAACTAGACATGTGGTTTTGCAGCATACTGTGAACTAGCTTCTACAACACTTCACAGATATTCTCATCACCTGCCAAATATGAACATCTTAAAACAACATGTTACTGCCTAGCCCTGACAGATGCATTGCAGAACTATAGCATATAGGGGTACTTTTTGAAAGCATATGTGTCTCGTTAAACAGGTAGAGTACAACAAATGCAGTCTGTGGGTGCCATTTGTGGAGCAATAAGACCGTTAACATTTTCCAAAAGGTATGTACAGATTCACCATATCCAGAGGCCATAAAATACATCTAGACCTGTCTTTAATGGGCGTAGCATTCAGGATCAGTTTACGCCTGGAGTTCAGCTATAGACAAGTGTTTGATTTGCCACACAACCATATTAAGGCATAGGTGTGCAAAGGTCCAAAAGCAATAGACAAACCTTGGACCCCACTGCTGAATTTCAGACTATTATTATTATTATTATTATTCAGTATTTATAAAGCGCCAATAGTTCGCTCAGCGCTGTACATTACAAAGGGGGGACAGAACATGTGACAGAACAATACCAATACAATGCAAAACATGAGGGGATCGAGGGCCTGCTCTTTCAAGCTTACAATCTAGGAGGGAGGGGGATGGTGGCACAGGAGGAGATAGCTGTGGGGGATGGAGTGGTAGGAAAGAGTGGAGGAGGTCGGCAAGTTAGCAGGGGGCGGGGTAGGCTTCCCTGAAGAGATGGGTTTTCAGGGTGCGCCTAAAGGAGAGGAGAGTAGGTGATAATCTGATGGGTTGGGGGGCAGGGAGTTCCGGAGGATGGGTGACACCCTGGAGAAGTCCTGAGGAGGCGGGCATGGGAGGAGGAGACCAGGGAACTAGAGAGAAGGAGGTCTTGTGAGGAGCGGAGTGTGCGTGCTGGGCTGGGGTACTTGGATATATTAGGTCAGTGATGTAGTTCGGGGGCAGTATGGTGGACAGCTTTGTACGTCAGTGTTTAGGATTTTGAATTTGATCCGTTGCGCAATCGGAAGCCAGTGGAGGGATTTGGCAGAGGGGGGGTGGCGGAAAACGGAGCGGTTGGAAAGGTGAATGAGTCTGGCAGCCGTATTCAGGATGGACTGAAGCGGGGATAGCCAGCGGCGAGGCAGGCCAGTGAGGAGGGAGTTGCAGTAGTCGAGTCGCGATATGATGAGGGAGTGGATGAGCTGTTTAGTGGTTTCTGGAGTTAGGAACGTGCGGATTTTGGCGATGTTGCGGAGGTGGAGTCTGCATGAGTTTGTTAAAGAGTGGACTTGGGGCTGGAAGGATAGGTTGGAGTCCAAAATGACACCAAGTAACTCTGGCCTGCGGGGCGGGTTTGATGGTGGCGTTGTTGGACATGATGGAGAAGTCAATGGGGGGTGGTGTCCGGGGCTGGAGGGAAGACAAGAAACTCGGTTTTGGAGAGGTTCAGTTTAAGGAAGTGGAGCGACATCCAGTCTGATATGTCGCTCAACAGGTGTGTGATTCGGGCGGAGAGCCGAGGGGGTGAGGTGGGGGGTTGAGAGATAGATTTGTGTGTCGTCGGCATAGAGGTGGTAGTTGAAGCCGTTGAGAGAGTGTATGAGTTGGCCAAGGGAGGAGGTGTAGATGGAGAAGAGAAGGGGCCCGAGGACAGAGCCTTGGGGGACCCCAACAGAGAGGTGGGGGGAGTGAGAGGGAGGTGGTGGCATTATAGGTAACGCTGAAAGAGCGTTTGTGACAGGTAGGATGAGAGCCACTGAGAGAGCAGAATCTCTGAGGCCGAGGGAGTGTAGTTTTTTGAGGAGGAGGGGTGTGGTCGACTGTGTCAAAGGCGCGCATGAGAGGTCAAGGAGTAGGGAGCACTGAATAGTGCCATTAGCTTTGGCGGTTAGCAGGTCGTTGGAGAGTTTGAGTAAGGCAGTTTTCGGTGGAGTGTAGGGGACGGAAGCCGGACTGTGGGGATCGAGGAGGGTTGTTGTCGTTGAGGTGAGAGCATAGGCGGGGTAGATAGGCGCTCGAGGAGTTTAGATGTAAATGGGAGCAGGGAGATGGGTCTGAGGTTGTTCGGGTCATTGGGGTCCAGGGAGGGCTTTTTAAGTATGGGGGTGATGTGTGCATGTTTCAGAGGGGAAGGGAAAGTGCCGGAGGAGAGGGAGAGATTGAAGATGTGGGTGAGGGAGCGTAAGATGGAGGGGGAGGGAGGTTGTAGGAGTTGTGTGGGGATAGGTCAAGGGGGGCAGGTGGTGAGGCGGGGGCATCAGAGAGGATCTTGGAGACTTCTTCGATGGTAGTAAGGTCAAAGGTGCGGAGTGTTGGAGGAGCTTCAGTATGAGGAATGTTAGGGTGGGGTGGGAGAGGAGGTCAGAGCAGTGGTGGGGCCGTGGGAGAGGGGTGTAGAGGGGGTAGCTGAGTGAGGGGAAGGGGGTTGGAGGGAGTTTGAGCAGCGACGAAGTCCCTGTGGGTTATGTCGAGGGGGAGGGGGGATGAGGGGGGTAGCTGTGTGAGAGGGGACGGGTTGAGAAGGCGTGTGAGTTGCGGCAAATGTCCTTGCGAATTGTGTCAATCTTGTTTTTGAAGTGATTGGCAATCTCAAGGGCAGTGAGTGAGGTGCTGGGTGGAGGTGGGGGTGGCGAGAGTAGAGAGTTGAAGGTGGAGAAGAGTCGGCGAGGATTGGAGGAGAGGCCTTGATGAGGGTCAGGAAGTAGGCTTGTTTGGCAGTATGGAGGGAAGGAGGTGTAGGTGTTGGAAGGCAGATTTGTATCGGGTGAAGGCTTGTTGGGATTTGGTTTTGCGCCATAGTCGCTCCAGGGCACGACTGTCGTTTGAGGGTTTTGGTATTGTGATCAGTCTGCAGGGCTGGAGCGGTCGGGGGGGTCTGATGTTTTGTGTGTGGTTAAAGGCGCTAGTGAGTCAAGGGCTGTTGACAGCGCATTGTTGTAGGCGGTCATAGCCAAGTCGGGGCAGGACAGGGGGAGGATGCTGTCATGGAGTTGATCAACTGCGGAGTGGAGGGAGGCAGGGTTAAGGTTGCGGAGGTTACGGCTGGTAGTAGTGTGACATTTGGAGGGGTAAGGCGTTGGAGGATGAGGAGATAGAGAAGGTGATCAGGTTGTGGTCAGAGAGAGGGAAGGGGGTGTTAGTGAGGTTGTGGGGGGAGCGCAGCGGTTGGAGAAGACAAGATCAAGGATATTACCGTCGGAGTGGGTGGTGGATTGTATGCACTGTGCAAGTGCAAAGGAGGAGGTTAAGTGGAGGAGACGGGCTGTGTCCGGGTTGTCGAGGTTGACAGGGATGTTGAAATCCCCAAGGATGATAGTGGGTAGCTCAGAGGAGAGGAAGAAGGGTAGCCAGGAGGAGAGAAGAAGTCTTCCAGGAAGCGGGGTATGGATCCAGGAGGCCGGTATATCACAGCAATCTTCAAGGGGGGTTGGGGGAGAATAGTCGGACGCAGACTAAACTTCATATATCTGCAATGTTTTTAAACAAAAGTGGGATTTTTAAAACATTACACTAGCTGTAAAGCCTCACTATGTTTTCAAACATATATGTTGCAAATATGCCACTGACTACCTATATAGCAAGGAACTTGCTAACCCTTTAAGCAAAAGTACTATAACATTCTGCTTTTACCTGATTTCCTTTTGAGTGCCATGCTTTACCATCATGTCGATATATACGGACCAGATGTCTGTTCGTTTGGGATAGCTGCTCAGTGTGCTTTCAAACAAAGCCTTGGCTCGTACAGGATCACCCAGATGGAAACTCTAGCTGGGCAAACTTTGAAATTACATCAACATCTGAAGGGGAGAAAAAAAAAATGTTTCTATAAAAAAAAACAGACCAACTGAAAAGCCACTCCTGGAACGCTACAAATACGAGTTTGAAATGTGTTCACATGGTAACAAAAAGCAATCAGAATCTTATAAAAAGTCACAGCTTGTCAATTCATGGTCCTATATGCCATGAACCGGTTAAAACCTCAAAAGAGATCCAATAATTGTAATGCTAATGATCGGTAATATGGACAACTCTATATGAAAAAAAAAATCAAAGTCTACCTCTGCTAACAGTGACTGCACCTTCCTTTTATATATACATGTGATTTTGCACTTCTGTTTCAAAGGGTGGCCTGTGCGCCGCCGGCAGATCGACTTCTGCTGTGACAGTTCACAGCCAGAAGCAATCTCCAAGCACCCGTAGATCGTCGGGCAGGGAGGAACAACAATGCTCTGCCTATGTTTTTACTCTGTTCTGACAGGGGAAAAGTGATGATCGATTGTGTGTAAGAGCAGAACTGGGAACACGATCCATCACTTCCTCTTGTACCAACACCAGCTAGTGTACACCAAGCACATAGCTAGGCACACACTTAAACCTTTGATCATCATAGATGTTAACCCCTTCTCAACCAGCTTCATTAGTAAAGTGATCAGTGCATATTTTTAGCACTCATCACTGTATTAGTGTCACTGCTTCGCACAAAGTGTAAGTTAGTGTAAAAATGTCTGCTGCAATATTGCAGTCCCGCTCTAAGTCGCCTCACCGTCACCATTACCAGTATAAATAACTAAATTCCAGTATACGTTCCATAGTTTGTAGACGCTATAACTTATGCGCAAACTAATCAATACGTGCCTACTGGGATTTTGTTTTACCAAAAATATGTAGCAGAATGCATTTTGGCCTAAATTTATGAAGAAATTTGATTTTCAGCTTATTTTTTATTGGATATTGTTTTATAGTAGAAAATTTTATTTATTTTTTTTTTTTTAAATGGTTGGTCTTTTATTTTTAACACAAAAAGTTTAAAAACCACAGAGGTGATCAAATACCACCAAAAGAAATCTCTATTTGTGGGGGGAAAAACCCCATAAATTTCATTTGGATACAGCATTCCATGACCATGCAATGTCAGTTAAAGTAACGCAGCGCGCCGTATCGCAAAATATGGCCTGGTAAGCAGGGGGATAAATATTCCGAAGCTGAAGTGGATTAAAGTAATCATACCAAAATATAAAAAAACAAATGGACTTTTTAAGCTAGTTATACACCTACTTCAGATCTAAAAGGGCCTTTAGGCATTAGGCTGCTAAAAATTAGGCACAAGTGGCTCAGCCGCTGATCGATTGAAGAACAGTTCCAGCAAGTGTAGAAAATACCCATCGCTCTTGAAGCAACAGAGACACTGCCATTGCTAGCATGTACATTAAACTGGTATATCAAACAATGTTTATCTTCCTTCTAATCCATCTTCTGTAAACTACACATTTCCCTGACCCCTATGTAATAGAGATGAACATAGAAGAATGAACAGTATTTGTAATGCAAAGTGGGGGAAGCAACTATTTGCCACCCTAGGACAGGAAGTGTGTTACTGGCAAGACCACCAGGTGAAAATAAATGAAAAGCCTGGAAATAAAAACTAATGCAGCAACCACATCTAAAGACTGGTAAGTTGCAATAGAACACATTTTTGTTTAGATAAGCTATATATTACTAAATGACTTAAAAAAAAATGAACAGCTGTTTGTAATCTGCCTGAAGCTGTTGAAAAGTAAAAATTTCCAGTTGTGTTTGTGGTTGTCCGGTAACAGGTTGTGGTGTGGTATACTATGTTGTCAAATATTTTGCTAAATCCTCCACATTCAGTAACCTAGTGTGATCCTGTGAAAGTATAATCGACTGCAGACCTGCACTATTTGCACCACACTCTAATTGACTGTGCAGTTCACCTGGTGTAAGGATGACCAAAACATGTCACGACATACCCAATATTAAAAGGAAACCTGCAGCAAGAATGTATTGTGAATACCATTCCTAACCTCTACTTCCAAAATACTAGTTACCCGTTATGCTGATCGAATAGTTTTAGTACTTCCTGCATCATTGACCCAGAACAGGTATACAATTGGGAGTTCTGACTTCACACTAACTTTCCTAAACTACATATTTGTTGCACAAACCATGTCCTAAGGCAATGTAGCCACCAATGGAAGGAATCACAGTGCCTGGGGGTCATCAGATATCTAACATACCTGATGAATACTAGCAGTGCTGATAACGCTTTAAAAAAAAAAAAAAAAAAAAAAAAAAAAAAAAAAAAAAAGGGAACCCCAGAACAAAATACTACTGTATATTGTAGCATACAATTCGTTACACGTGCAAATACAGAAAACTGCCTTTTAATCAGTGTGCTTGTACCTTTTAATCGACTGAACTGAAATCAGCCTTTTTAGCTATCCTCCATAAACAAAACAAAACAAAAACAAACCCTCAACCTATGTTAAAAGGTAAAGAGGAGGAGGTGCAGTGCAAAATCAGGCAAGAGCAGCCTATGATAACACTAACCCTACAGAGATGCAGTACAGTGAGTGTTGTCATCTTATGATAGATGTTTTATTGGCAGGATCACCAGAAAAATGATAGATGTTTTATTGGCAGGATCACCAGAAAAATGAAATGTTTTATTGGCAGGATCACCAGAAAAAAAAAAGAACAAATGCAGCCACTACCTGTAAACACTGGTAAGTTGCAATATAATACACAGTATTTTGTTTTTACAGAATTTTATTTTACAGTGCATTCATAAAGTATTCAGATCCCCTTCACTTTTTTCAATTTTGTCATGTTGCAGCCTGATACTACAGCTGCTTAAATTCATTTTTCACATTAATCTACACTCAGTACCCCATAATGGCAAAGTGAAAACATAATTTTAGAGATGGTTGCAAATGTATGAAAAAAAGGAAAAAACTGAAATCTCACATCGGCACAAGTATTCAGACCCTTTGCAACAACACTTGAAATTTAGTTCACGTGCCTCCCATTTCTTTTGATTGTTGCTGAGAGGTTTCTGCACCTTGATTGGAGTCCACCTGTGGTAAATTAACTTGATTGCCATGATTTGGAAAGGCACACTCCTCTCTATAAAAGGCCACAGAGCTGACAATGTATATTGTATCAGAGAAAAGCCATGAGGTCAAAAGGAACTGCCTGCAGAGCTCAGACACAGGATTATTGCAAGGCACACATCTGGGAAAGGCTGCAAAAAATGTCTGGTGCAATGAAGGTTCGCAAGAGCACAGTGGCCTTTATAATAGTCAAATGGAAGAAGTTCGGCACAACCAGGACTGTTCCAAAAGCTGGTCGCCTGGCCAAACTCATCAATTGGGGGAGAAAAGCCATTGTAAGAGAGATGACCAAGAACCTGGTGGTCACTCTGTCCCATCTCCACACAGGATCCTTGGAGCTCAAAGTTCCAGAAGGACAACCAACACTGCAGCCCTACACTGATCTGGGCTTTATGGTAGGAGTGGTTAGATAGAAGCAAAACACATAAAAGCCTGCTTGGAATTTGCAAAAAAGCACCTAAAGGACTCTCAGACTGTGAGGAACAAGATTCTCTGCTTTGATAAAACCAAGATTGAACTGTTTGGCCTCAATTTCAAACGTTCTCTCTGGAGGAAACCAGGCCCCACTCATCACCTGCCCAATACCATACCAACAGTGAAGCATGGTGGTGGCATCATCATGCTGTGGGGGTGTTTTTCAGCAGCAGGGACTGAGAGACTAGAGACTTTGAAAAAAGTGAAAGGGGTCTGAATACTTTATGTATGCACAGTATGGATTTTGCTGAGAGGTGTAGCAATTTGTTCTCATCTCAAACAATAGCTACAAATTTATGGAAATTGCATTATTCCACATTCATCTACATTTTTTAATGAATATTCAATAGCAGGATATACAAAATTATGTTAGCTGCTTGCTAGGGACTACACAGGCTGTTCTCATTTAACCACTTGCCCTCCTGAGGATTTGCCCCCCTTAATGACCAGGCCTCTTTTTGCTACTCGGCACTGCACTAATTCAACTGATAATTGCGCGGTCATGCAATGCTGCACCCAAACGAAATTTACGTCCTTTTTTCACACAAATAGAGCTTTCTTTCAGTGGTATTTGATCACCTGTGCACTTTTTATTTTTCATGCTATAAACAAAAAAAGACCAAAAATTTTGAAGAAAAACAATATTTTTTACTTTCAGCTATAAAAAATATATAGTAAACTCAAAGTTAGTTATAAATTTAGGCCAAAATGTATTCTGCTACATGTTTTTGGCAAAAAAAAAATCCCAATAAGTGTATATTGATTGCTTTGTGTGAAAGTTATAGCATCTACAAACTATGGTATAGATACTGCAATCGCCGCCATTTTTTTGCTATACAGCGCTGCGCTAGTTTAACGGACAATTGCGCGATCATGCAATACGGTACATAAATGAAATTTACATCCTTTTTTTTCGGTGGTATTTGATCGCCTGTGCGGTTTTTATTTTTTTTGCGCTATAAAAAAAAAAAGCCTGACAATTTTGAGGAAAAAAAAAAATATTTTGGACTTTTTGCTATAAAACATGTTAAGTAAAAAAAAAAAAAATTTAAAAATCAAATTTAGTCAAATTTCTGCCAAAATGCATTCTGCAACATGTCTTTGCTAAAAAAAAAAACCCCCAATACATGTAAATTAATTGGTTTACGTGAAAGTTATAGCGTTTACAAATGGCGGGAAAGATACTGGGATTTTTACTTTTTTTTTTTTATACTAATAATAGCGGCGATTAGCGACTTATGGCAGTGATGAGTGACTTATGGCAGGACTGCGGCGACATTCTGACACGGGGGGGGGAACTGACTTGGGGTCACTGACATCCCCAGTGACACCAATACAGTGATCAGTGCAAAAAAAAAAAAAAAAAAAAACCCACTGACACTGTACTAATGGCACTGGGGAGGAAGGCGTTAACTTTATTATTCAGTGAAAGGGTTAACTGTGTGAGGGGAGTGTTTTACTAGGGGGCGGGGGTGTGTACTGCAGGGAACACGCTGATCGGGAGAGATAAACTCTTCTCTCCCGATCAGCGTGTCAGGAGCTGTCAGGGAACTGACAGAGAGCAGAGCTACTGCAGCCCTGCTCTCTGTCAGTGATTGCCGCTAATCGCCGGGACACAGCCAGTAACGATCGGCTGTGACCCGCCGACTGACATCTGCTGCCATGATCGGCGAGACAAGTAGGGCGGTGGCGCGCCTCGCACATGCCCCCTACCTGTTTTGAAAACACACATTTTAAAACGTGGTTTTGCCCAGCCGTGCCGCCCTGCCAACGTATTTCTACAGTCACTGGGCAGCATGTGGTTAAGAAATGGAAATGCATAACAAATCATTCTAATTCACATCAGTAAATCAACAGTGAATCCAATAGTTCAGGATGATTATATGACACCAATACATACGCTCTTTTTCAGGAAGACATTTCAGTGCCCGCTGCAGTAAGCGATGAGCAGCCTCTGACTGGCCTTGCTTAAGAAGAAACGTGGCATATTTCCAATATACGGACTTTTCCTGTTTGAAACGCTTTACCATCGTGTTGAACAATTCATCAGCCTCCTGGATGCAAGAAAAGAGCAATCAAAACAAAATTCAATGTAGTTTACCATAAATAAAGAGGTCTTCTAGCGCAACTGATCAGAACCAAAGCATATCTTTAATTTTTATAAAAAGGTTTTTAAATCACTGTCAAATATAAACTATTCTTAAACAGTGAAGGAAAACAGAAATAACAGATGTCAATAATTAGTCAATGCCAAAGACACCTCTGCCTTTTCAATGACAGTCATACGTCACTGATTTCTGCAAGGTAAGGAGCAAATCCTAATGGCAGACATTGCAGAATACGTAAACCCAACTTTTCATACTCCTGATATGTGCCTGCTGTACCATGTACTTCTATGAAAAAGTATCCTGTTCTCTTTGTATTGCTTTCTTTGTGTGAAATCCCTGGTGTTCCTGCCAGTCACACTAGGCAGGAGAGAACAGTGTGGGCAGTTTTCTAGCGGTGCTGGGAACTCTGTGTACTCTCCTCCAATAATCAGACTTGCTAGACACATCCCCCCTGCACAGGGGGAAGACCAGTGTGCTGCTGTTTCTCCTCCCCAGCTCTTATGCTGCTGAGAACACGTGATCACTTATTACAAAAAAAAAAAGAAAAACAAAGTATTTATAATGTATTTTTTTATGAAACACACACACAAATATTGCCAAAAGTATTGGGACACCCCTCCAAATCATTAGATTGGTGTTCCAATCACCTCCATGGCCACAGGTGTATAAAATCAAGCACCTAGACATGCAGACTGCTTCTACAAACATTTGTGAAAGAATGGGTCACTATCAGAAGCTCAGTGAATTCAAGCGTGGTAAGGCGATAGGTTATCACCTGTGCAATGAGTCCATCCATGAAATTTCCTTGCTACTAAATATTCCGCAGTCAACTGTTAGTGGTATTATAACAAAGTGGAAGCAACTGACAGATCACACTGCAGCGTGGCCCGTCGGGCATGTTCCAAGGACAATGTCTACCGGGAACGACAAGTGTCCTGCCCGGCTGTCATTGGTCTATAAGTCAGGCAGGAAGTGATTAAAAAGTATATATGTTATTCTGGCCAAGCACAATTCGATGCCGCGGCACAACATGGATTGACAAACTTCAATCTGAAAATCAAAGGATTGGATCCTAGCCTCAAACTACACATGGGGCCTTGAATTATACTATAATTTTTGTGTGTGTGTGTTTATATTTTTTACATTTATTTTCCTGCAGGATAGGTCTTTAATTTATTTTCAACTGGCAGCACCATTGTGGTTTGCAGCCTCAGCCTGAAGGGTATCGGCTGTGGTAAAAAGTACCAGGTATCTGGGTATCACATGCTTTGCTGGAGCAAAGACAAAATGTTTCCAAATCACACACACATGACTGCTGACTATAATCAGGTACAGAGCTGATGCAGACACTCAGAAGTGAGGCTCCCGTGGACTTTAGGGTGTCCAGCTGGACAACTTTCTGGTCCTTGCACAGTATGCACTGAAGCTTCTGGCAAAAAAAAAAAAAAAAAAAATTATTTATGCATACCTGCCACCATTACCGGTCAGCTTTCCTGGCCTATTCTGGTGCTTTAGCATTGTAAAGGTGCTGCACAATGTTGCTGCAGCTGAACATCAGCTGTCAAATTTCTCATGTCTACTTTAAAGATTCTGCATTGCACCCTCGAAGTTTGTTGGCATATTTATGGATTCTGGCACTGTGGCTATTGCCTCTGAAATAATTATTCTGTCTATTTCAGGATAAAGTTGCCACTTCTCTCCTTTTTATATTGTGGCCTAACCAAGTTGTTTACATACGGTCCAATATATGTGCTGTTGTCTCTCAAACAATACAGTCTAATGTTTATTTCAAGATAAAATCTGCCTGGTTTCTCTCTCTTATATTGGGGGTCTACTCAAGCTGCTAATTGTCTTAGAAAGAGACTAGGCAAGTTTTGTTCTGCAATAAATGTCATTATCTACAGTCATGGCCGAAATTGTTGGCACCCTTGATATTTTTCCTGAAAATCAAGTATTTCACACAAAAAAGGTATTGCATTAACACATGTTTTGCTATACACATGTTTATTCCCTTTGTATGTATTGGAACAAATATAAAACAGAGGCAGAAAAGCAAATATGACATAATGTCACACAAAACCCCAAAAATGGGCTGGACAAAAGTATTGGCACCCTTAACTTAATATTTGGTTGCACACCCTTTGGAAAACATAACTGAAATCAGTCGCTTCCTATAACCATCAATAAGCTTCTGACACCTCTCACCCGGAATTTTGGACCACTCTTCCTTTGCAAACAGCTCCAGGTCTCTCTTATTGGAAAGGACACCTTTTCCCAACAGCAATTTTAAGATCTCTCCACAGGTGTTCAATGGGATTTAGATCTGGGCTCATTGCTGGCCACTTCAGAACTCTCCAGCGCTTCTTTGCCATCCATTTCTGAGTGCTTTTTGACGTATGTTTGGGGTCATTGTCCTGCTGGAAGACCCAGGATCTTGGACGCAAACCCAGCTTTCTGACACTGGGCCCTACAGTGCGACCCAAAATCCTTTGGTAATCCTCAGATTTCATGATGCCTTGCACACAGTCAAGGCACCCAGTGCCAGAGGCAGCAAAACAACCCCAAAACATCATTGAACCTCCACCATATTTTACCGTAGGTACTGTGTTTTGTTCTTTGTAGGCCTCATTCCGTTTTCGGTAAACAGTAGAATGATGTGCTTTACCGAAAAGCTCTATCTTGGTCTCATCTGTCCACAAGACGTTTTCCCAGAAGGCTTTTGGCTTACTCAAGTACATTTTGGCAAACTGTAGTCTTGCTTTTTTATGTCTCTGTGTCAGCAGTGGGGTCCTCCTGGGTCTCCTGCCATAGCGTTTCATTTCATTTAAATGTCGACGGATTTCGCGCTGACACTGATGCTCCCTGAGCCTGCAGGACAGCTTGAATGTCTTTGGAACATGTTTGGGGCTGCTTATCCACCATCCGGACTATTCTGCGTTGCAATCTTTCATCAATTTTCCTCATCCGTCCACGACCAGGGAGATTAGCTACAGTGCCATGGGTTGCAAACTTCTTGATAATGTTGCGCACTGTGGACAAAGGCAAATCTAGTTCTCTGGAGATGGACTTGTAACCTTGAGATTGTTGATATTTTGCCACAATTTTGGTTCTCAGGTCCTCAGACAGTTCTCGTCTCTCCTCTTTCTGTTGTCCATGCTTAGTGTGGCACAGACAGACACACAATGCAAAGGTTAAGTGAACGTCTCTCCTTTTTATCTGCTTTCAGGTGTGATTTCTATATTGCCCACACCTGTTACTTGCCCCAGGTGAGTTTACAGGAGCATCACATGCTTGTAACATTCTTATTTATCCGCAGTTGTGAAAGGGTGGCCAATACTTTTGTCCAGCCCATTTTTGGAGGTTTGTGTGTGACATTATGTCGAATTTGCTTTCTTTCCTCCCTTTTTTTGTTTTGTCCCAATACACACAAAGGGAATAAACATGTGTATAGCAAAACATGTGTTAATGCAATACGTTTCGTGAGAAATACATGATTTCCTGGAGAAATATCAAGGGTGCCAACAATTTCGGCCATGACTGTATTTGTTGCCTATTCAAGTGCTCACCTACTATCCTGACACTACACAATTTCTACAAAACACATAAAGTGCTCAGTATAAATGATTACACCACAACAGATTTGTCAGATAACCTTTACTTTCCTTTCAGAATCAACATTTCTATGGGACTCTAATCTACAAAATACTCACAAATGCAGGCCATTGAATGAAAATAAGATTTGTTAATTTGCACACATAAAAAAGTATTTTTTTCTAACAAATTCATTCAAGACCATGTTGCAAAAATGAATACACCTTAATGAAAGTCTTAGGAGCAAAGCTAAATTTTAGAAAACAAAATCCTAATTAACAAGAATCCAACTACAGGGGAGTCTACTTATTCATTAAACAGGTGTCCAGCAGAGAGTTAATTATAAAAAATGAGTTACTTAAAAAAAAAAACCCTTCCCATTTCATTGCTGTCTGCAATGGCACCACATGGAAGAGAAATGTCACAAGGCCTGAGAAAGAAAAATTTCTTTACACAGGAAAGGTGAGGGCTACAACATCAGCAAAGCTTTACTTCTCAGTCAGAATACTGCATCAAAAGTGATACAATAATTGAACAAAGATGGAACTGCAACCATCTCACACAGACATTCAGGCTGTCCACGGAAGTTAATACCTCGACAGCAACGTCTTCTGATGAGAAGGGTTGAAGAAAATCGCCATGCAAGTTCACTGCAGTTAGCTAAAAAAGTAGAAAGCCAAACTGGGGCGATTTTTTTTTTTCCTGTGACACAATATGGAGTACACTGCAGAGGAATGGCATGCATGGTGTCATCCACAAAGGAAGCCTCTCCTAAAGCCCATGCACAAAAAAAACCTGCATAGAATTTGCCAGGACCAATGCTGAAAAAGAAGAAGACTATGGGAACTCTGTACTCTGGAGTTATGAGACCAAGATAGAGGTTTTTGGAACTGATGGCTTCAAAACTGTATGGCATTGCAAAGGCAAGGAGTACAAAGAAAAATGCATGGTGCCTACAGTGAAACATGGTGGTGGCAGTGTCCCTCTGTGGGGCTGCATGAGTGCTGCTGGTGTCAGGGAGCTTCATTTCATTGATTGTATCATGAATTCACAGATGTACTGCTCTATATTGAAAGAGAAGATGCTACCATCACTCCATGCCCTTCGGTGTCATGCACTTTTCCAACATGACAATTATCCAAAACGCACATCTAAGGTCACTGTTGCATTTCTGAAGAACAGGGTGAAAGTGACTCAGTGGCCAAGTATGTCTCCTGATCTTAACACCTATGGGGAGTTCTGAAGAGACAAGTTGAGCATCACTCTCCATCCAGCATCCAGGCTTCTAAAAAGAGGTCCTTCTTGAAGATTTGAAATTGCAATCTGTTGCCAACTTGTTAATTCCATGCCTAGAAGACTTGGTGCTGTCCTTACAAATCATGGAGGTCATACAAAATACTAGATGTAGTAGTTTTTGTTGTGGGGTGCATTCATTTTTGCATCAACTAATTTGAGTAAAGCTGAAGATTTTATAATCTAAGTTATGTTATTAACCTAACTTTCATGTAATGAGCTAAACCAATGTTCTATAAAACTCAGTTTTGTAAAAATGTGGGAAATTGTTCTTGTGTTCATTGAGATATTGATTAAAATATTACTTTTCAAAAGGGGTGTACTCATTTATGCTGAGCACTGTACTTAACAATTTTGAGAAAAATCAGAGATGTAGTTTAGAAGTGGTACTGCATTTTAACTAAAAACATTTAAGATAATTCATTTTAGTACTGCGAAAAAAAATAGAAAAAAAAAAAAGCATCTCACCAACTATTCCATACCATTAACTATTTTGTCTGATTTGTATGAAGTTGAGGACTTTAGCTACATACATACATACATACACCTATATATCTCCACCATCAATTCACACCTATTACTGCTTGGTTTTAGGGGGGGGGGGGGGGTGTTGCAGCTTTTCCCCCCAATTTGAAACAAATCCAAGCACGGTGCTGCTGCTGTGTATAATGTTAGAAGAATGTAAAAAAAAAAAAAAAAATTACACATCTAAAAATTATGGCAGAATACAGGGTCACTGACTCAAGCATGAAACATGTAATTATAGTATTGGTGGTATTTTCCATATCATTATCTGAGTTGAAAAGAGAAGGACCCTCTTCCACTAAACAATATTTATTTTTTAAAAAAAAAAAAATCTTTCTTGCTTAGCTAAATGTCCCCCATAGCTGTGCCCAGATCCGAAAGCCCTTCTTTGCCAATAGCTTGCCTACTAACTTGAAAATGGCCAGAATTCAGCATCAACATTCTTAATGAATTTTTTATGTTCGTTTTTTTTTTTTTTTGGGGGGGGGGGGGGGGTCTTATAAGGGAAGCAAACAAATGTTCTTCTTCCCTGCAGCCAGTGATGTCACTGTGCTTGGAATGGTGCAGTATCAAGACGTTTGTTTTAAATGGTGCTGTAGGTAAAGTACTACAATGAAGACAACCAACAAATGCCTAAACTATATAAACCTTGAGATGTTTTACCTTAAACTTTTCTGACTTAATGTAAATTTCCACCAAGTGCTGGAATGCTTTCAATGGATCGTTGTATTGAACAGCTCGTTCGAACACCTTCAGCAGAGTCTCTTCTGTGCCATATGTATTCTCCATATTGAGCATGGCCACCCATACGTTCAGCTTCTCTTGCTCCTCCCTGTAGACACAAATTGTTAGCATATTACAGTGTATATCAGTGCAACATTATCCCATGTTATGTCTCGAATGGTCCTGTAAGCACAAAAAAGTACAATTTCATCTGCCAGAAATGCAGAGTTGTGAGCTGAGAACACAAACAACAAAGTCCTATCCAGTTTTCTGACACGAAATAAAGCAAATTGTTATTTCTGTTAGCGGTCTTGTTCCTTTGCTATCTGTATGAATCACTTCTGACAAGTTTTTCTGACACAAAGGAAAAAAAAAAAAAAGGTGACGGGGAGGGATTTCCAGCACACAGCCTGTGATTGACAGCCTCAGCTCTGTTCCTGTGTGCTCTGTAAAGGGGGTGTGTCCCTACCTTCCAATCAGCTCTCACTGAGCACTGCAGGAGTGTAACTTCAGCTCCTTGAAGCCCAGACAAGCTGTATAAATTCTGCACTTTGAACAGATGGTGCAGATAAACAGGTACAACTTATGTAGGATGATTTGTTTCACCTCTGCGTATCACCTGAGATCAGTCACTTCACTGGGTATATGGAAGGATTTGTAACCACTTTACTGTATCTACTCAACCACTCCCATTGTCTTCATCTCCAAAGCATTGCACTAAATTCACTTGCAGCACTAATATAGGAATTAGAAGGGCTAAATAGACACTGGGATAACACTGGGAGCTTACATGGAACACATGAGAACTCTAAATTCTGGGGGAAATGGAGTAAAGACATAAAATCCTGTGACTTAAAGCTTGTTAAGTTATTTCTGAATTGAAACACTTGTTGAAATATGCAAATACGGCATAGAAAACCTTATCCTTATGTCTATGTGGAATGACAGCATCATGGTTTTTCCCAATCACCTTTTACCTTTCACTTGTAAGATTACAGCCATAACTTTATGACCACCCACCTAACAGAGTAGGCGCCCCCCTTCTTTGCTACCAAAACAGCCCTGGCCCATCAAGGAATGGACTCCACTAGACCTCTGAAGGTATGCTTGGCTATCTGGCACCAAGCCCTCAGTAGCAGATCCTTCTAGTCCAGTAAGTTGCAAGGTAAGGCCTCCATGAATTGGACATGTTTTTCCAGCACATTCCACAGATGCTTGATTGGACTGAGATCTGGAGAATCAAGAGGCCAACTCAACACCTCAAACTTGTTATTGTGTTCCACAAACTAGTCTTAAAACCATTTTTGCAGTGTGGCAGGGTGAATTATCCTGCTGAAAACTCCTGCCTGGAGTTTGCATGTTCTCCCTGTGCCTGCGTGGGTTTCCTCTGGGTACTCTGGTTTCCTCCCACACTCCAAAGACATGCTGGTAGGTTAACTGGATCCTGTCTAAATTGGCCCTAGTATGTGTATGTATGTATGAATATGAGTTAGGGACCTTGGATTGTAACCCCTTGAGGGTTAGGGACTGATGTGAATGTACTATATTTATGTAAAGCGCTGAGTAAATTGACAGCACTATACAAGTACCTTAAATTAATACAAATTAAAAAAAGGCCACTACCATTATGGAATACCATTTCCATGAAGCAGTATACTTAGTCAGCAACAATGTTTAGGTAGGCGGTACATATCAAAGTAACATTTACATGAATGGCTGGACCCCATTTTTCCCAGCTGAACATTGCCCATAGCATCACACTGCCTCCACTGGCTTGCCTTTTTCCCCATACCATATCCCAGTGCCATCTTTCTCCAGGTAAGCAACGAACATGCACCGAGCCATCCACATGATGTTAAAAAAAAACAAAACACGTGATTCATCAGACCAGGCCACCTTTTTCCATAGCTCTGTGGCCCAATTCTGATGCTCACATGCACATTGTAGGAACGTTTGACTGTGGACACGGGTCAGCATCATAAGCACCCTGACCGGTCTGCAGTTATGCAGCCCCAAATATAACAAACTGTAATGCCCATTTTTACTGCTTTCAACACATCAACTTTAGAGACAACCTGTTTACTTGCTGCCCAATATATCCCACCAATTTTACGATGCCATTGTAAGAAGATAATCAGTAGTCATAAAGTTATGGCTAATCAGTGTATGTTTAACATTACCTGAAGTAAATAGTCTGCAGGGCTCTTTCTGCAACAGCCCTTGCTTGCTCCAGCTCAGTGGCCTGGAGGTGGAAATCCATGTACTGAATCCAGTTTGTAGAGATGTTAGGGGAACTGAGGACGAGGCGCTCATATTCATTAATTGACTGTGGTTGCTGACTTGGATCCGTGACCTCTTTTCCAGTTTGTCTCTTTTCTGCTTCCTGTTCTTTCTGCTTGCTCTTCGTCTAAAATGTTGTGAATGCAAATAGTCACAGCGAATACTTGATTATGCTGAACAATATCTTTATAAAATGAAATAAGCATTACCATACAGGGAAAATATCATGAAAGTATTCACCATTTTAACCCCACAGTTGGACAGTTCAGTGCCAGTGGTCCCGCAGGCCACAGGTTTTATTGCCATCATTTACTATAACGGAGTCTCAGGTTTTAATGTTTTTTTGCAGGTTGCTGTCCAAAAAGAATTATGTAGCATCTGTGTTTTACATTTTTTTACCAAAACACTTCAAGAATTAGCATTATTTCTCACAGCAGAAATCATTTATAGCTCCAGGACATCTCCCTCGGGGACACAAGGTTTGCTTAGATACTTCAGATAACATCAAACAGGTCCCAAAGTATGTAATTTAAATATTAGCTTCTGGGCTCATTCCATAGAAGCTTTGCTCATTAGAGCATAAAAGAGCAGTTTATCTGCAGCTGCATGCAGGCAGCCTAAATAAGTGAATGGATATACACAGGCTGCATAGGCTGACCTGCACAGCAGAGTCTAAGAGGTATGGAGGGATGGGTGCACAGCCCAGGACACAGAGGGTTTGATTGGGGGTTGTGCATCTATCCCTGTGTACCTGTCAAACTTGGCTATGCGGACGTACAGCCGATGTGTATTACTTCTCTTTTATAGGTTGCCTGCAAGCAAGTCAGCACTAGTACAAAATAGAAACAAACTGCTATGGGGCTGAATGCCTGTATGAATTAGCCCTATAGTTTAACACTTGTATCCAAAATGATCGCCCATTTTTGAAGTGTAAGATGGAATGGCCATTTAAAATTCAGAAGAAAGTTATAAAAGTTGATGGGGTTTATTCAACAATATTAGCAGCAAAAAAAATAGTTATACCGTTAAAGTACTACGGTACAATATCACTAGCGATTCATAAATCAAGCCAATTCTGTTAAACAGCCAGTTCACCCAATTGCTGTCACTACTATCAAAACTGGTGACAGATATATGTGAACCAATAGGCATAAACAGTGCAAAGTCAAAAAACTGAATAAGGTGCTCCAAGAAAAACAAGCTACAAACACTGCGTAATAAACCATTATAAGAAAAATAACAACCAGCTGATGAAATAATGAAACTAGAAGGCAATATCCAAGATCTAAATCTATCATTGCAGTAAACATACTTTCTGGATCTTGGGGCACTCCTCCTCTTCATCCTCCTCACTGTCTGAACTACTCTCCTTTCCATCAGTTAAAGAAGTTTTGAGAGTATTCAGACTGACGTCCCAAGAAAATCCAGAGGAAACCTGCAGCCGGGGTGCTGGAGACTTCTTGCCAGCTTTTTTCTACAGAACACAAAAAGAAAAAAAAAAATTTAATTAAAAGCATACATATATCAAAATGTGCCAATTTTTTTTGGAACATTTATGAACTGTCTTCCATTATGCGCCTGTTTTTTCTATAAGAAGGTCTACATTATTTGACAGCTTTGTATTATCCAACCTGCCGTCCAAGCTCCTGCAAGAAAGCTGTAAGCAGTTACTGCAGGAGCCAGACATTGCACCTGCAATCCACTGATCACATGTGCAATGTTTTGCAGGCTCCTGGGGGAAAAATATAAATATTAAAGGCATATTGTTGTCCTGCAAAAATATTTGGACTTAATATTTTTTCCTTAAGGCGTCATGCACACTGGCACTCCTGCATTTCTGTCAGATAATGAACCACCCAGAAAATGGTTGCAATTACAAATGTTTAGGCATTCTCATGTTTATTTCTTTTGTTGGTATTGGTATGACACAAATCAAGTGGAGAAACAAAATGCCAAAACTGACACATTCCACAAAAAACCTTATCGGCACCCTCAATTTAATATCTTGTAGCACACCCCTTAGAAAAAATGAACTGAAATCAAATCGCTTCTTGTAACCATAAATAAATTTCTTACACCTCTGTACTGGAATGTTGGACCACTCTTCTTTCGTCAACTTCTCCAGGTCTCTCAGATTGGAAGAGTTCCTTTTCCCAACTACTGTTTTGAGATCTCTCAACAGGTACTCTATGGGACTGAGATCTGGACTCATTGCTGGAGAGTTCAGTACTCTCCAACGCTTTGTCTGAAACCATTTCTGGATGCTTTTTGTTGTGTGCTTTGGGTCATTGTCCTGCTGCAAGACCCATGACCTGTGATGGAAACTTTGACACTGGGCCCTACACTGCACCCCAGAATTACTTGGTAGTCTTCAGATTTCATAATGCCATGCACGCGGTCAAGACATCCAGTGCCTGAAGCAGCAAAGCAACCTCAAAACATCAGTGAACCTCCACAAGGTTTGACTGTAGGGACTGTATTCTTGTCTTTAAACAGGTCTCATTGCTTTTTCTGAAAACAGTAGAATGATGGGCTTTACCAAAAAGCTATAATTTTGTTTTGTCTGACAACAGCACATTCTCCCAAAAGGATTTTGGTTTCCTCAGGTAAGCTTTGGCAAACTCTAATCTGGCTTTTTTACGTTTCTGTGCCAGGAGTGGGGTCCTCCTGGGTCTTCTACCATAGCGACCCTCTTAATTCAGAAGGCGTTGTATAGTGTGATTTGGCACAGTTGTATTTTGTGCCTGAAGGTCAGCCTGAATTTGCCTGAAAGTTGATCGAGGTTCTTTATCCACCATTCAAACAATCATTCGTTGCAATATTTGATCAATTTTTCTCTTTCGTCCACGTCCAGGGAGATTAGCTACAGTGCCATGGGCTGTAAATTTCTTGACAATGTTGCACACAGTGGACACAGGAACATTAAGATCTCTGGGGATGGACTTGTAACCTTGAGATTGTCCATGATTTTCCAAAATGTTTTGTTCTCAGATCCTCAGACAATTATTTGCTGCTTTTTCTCTTCTCCATTCTCCATGTGGCACAGACACCATTTTAACTGGTTGACGGTTGATTTCTATTATGTCAGCAACTAATATTTGATTCAGGCAAGTTTAATTACAAATTACAAGAGCATCACAAACTTGGAATACAACTATTTCCTACAATTTTGAGAAGGTGCCAATAATTTTGTTCGGTCCATTTTGGGGGTTTTGCATGGAATGTGTCAGATTTGGCTTTTTGTTTCTCCACTTTTCTGTGTAATACCAATACAAACAAAATAAACATGAGAATGCCTAAACATTTGTAATTGCAACAATTCGCTGGGCGCTAACGCTGGTAGACATGGTAAAACATGGCAAACCGGCATTTTTAAGCTAATATTTTTTTGAGTTAAAAAATGCGGCTAAACACTAATGCAAAAAAAAAAAAAAAAAAAAAAAAAAAGACAACATGCAGAAATACTTGTGTTTTTAATGTAACTTTATACAGCTAATGCTACCAGTGTTTTTAAAACAACCATTGTGCATGAGGTCTAAAGGTGAACTTATCCTTTAAAAGTATAGCATGATGCAGTTGTCATCACATGCATTTTCATTTTTTACATTCTAGTCCATGAGATGCAAATTATACACCAGGCTTTGAATTAAATTCTGTTTTTATTGTTGGCAATTTATTTTATTTTTATGCAGCAGGATGACTAAAAATTTTAAAAAGGAGTTAAAAGAGTTTCTGAATTAAATTGTAAGCACTCTTTCAATCTAAGATTAATCTTGGTGTATCCCTACAATAGTTTGGTTCTTTTCAACAGTTATGTATTAACACACGGAATCGCAGAATGTTTGCATGGAGACGGGGGGACTTGTGCAGCGAAATGGTGATCGGATATACACTATATTGACAAAAGTATTAGGATGTCTGCCTTTACACACACGATAGCTTTAATGGCATCCACGTCTTAGTCCGTAGGATTCAATATTGAGTTGGCCCACCCTTTGCAGATATAACAGCTTCAACTCTTCTGGAAAGGCTGTCCACAAGGTTTAGGAGTGTGTCTATGGGAATGTTTGACCATTCTTCCAGAAGCGCATTATAGGTACTAATGTCGAATGAGAAGGCCTGGCTTTCAGTCTCTGCTCTAATTCATCCCAAAGGTGTTCTATGAGGTTGAGGTCAGGACTCTGTGCAGGCCAGTCAAATTCCTTCACCCCAAACTTCTCATCCATGTCTTTATGGACCTTGCTTTGTGAACTGGTCTGCATTTATGTTGGAACAGGAAGAGGCCATCCCCAAACTGTTCCCTCAAAGTTAGGAGCATGAAATTGTCCAAAATGTCTTGGTATGCCAACGCCTTAAAGAGTTCCCTTCACTGGAGCTAAGGGGCCAAGCCCAACCCCTAAAAAACCACCCAGCACTATAATTCCCCCCTCCACCAAACTTTACACTTGGCAAAAGCAGTCAGGCGAGTACCGTTCTCCTGGCAACCACCAAACCCAGACATGTCCATCGGATTGCCAGACAGACGAGCGTGATTCGTCACTCCAGAGAACACGTCTTCACTGCTCTAGAGTCCAGTGATGGCGTGCTTTACGCCGCTGTATCTGACGCTTTGCATTGCACTTGGTGGTGAAGGTTTGGATGCAGCTGCTCGGTCATGGAAACCCATTGCATGAAGCTCTCTACGCACTGTTGTACTAATCTGACAGCCACATGAAGTTTGAAGGTCTTTAGCTATTGACTCTGCAGACAGTTGGCAACTTCTGCGCATGCGCGGAGTCCGCGCTGTCATTTTACATGGCCTACCACTTAGTGATATTATAACAAAAGTGGAAGCAACTTGGAACAACAGCAACTCAGCCACGAACAGTTGACTGCGGAATATTTAGTAGCAAGGAAATGTCACGGATACACGGTACCACGCTTGAATTCACTGAGCTCTTGAGAGCGACCCATTCTTTACCATATGTTTGTAGAAGCAGTCTGCAAACCTAGGTGCTTGATTTTATACATCCGTGGCCATGGAGGTGATTGGAACACCTGAATCCAATGATTTGGAGGGGTGTTCCAATACTTTTGGCAATATAGTGTATCCTGAACACTGGTGGGTCTGTGTTTCAAATTAGGCTGTTTAAAGAGTTGTAGGGTAAAATTTAAAGAGCTGGAGTTAACTGAAAGCAGTAAGAATTCTGGGCTACGCATATTTTCTAAATTGTATGCATACTTCCAAAAAACAAAAAGTTTTTGTAATGATGAATTTTGAACTTGCTCTAGGTTTAAATATCAAACAAGGGAAACTAATCTACTATGTGTAACCTATTCTAGACTATATCACTGCATATCTTAGGAAAGTTTTAACAGTACAAAATGGGTCTCAGATTTACAGTACAAAAAAAAAAAAAAATCTTAGTTTCTTTAAAAAGTACATCCTTATAAATAGAACATGTAGCCACATTCAGTAATATATATATATATATATATATATATATATATATATATATATATATATATATTTATTTTTTTTTTATATTTGCCTTTTTTTTTTTTTTTTCTTTTTTTTTTTAAAGTGGAACTATCCTTTAAAAAGTGATATGCATATCCAAAAAAATGAAAAAAACAAAATACAAAAAACAACTCAAAAATAGAAAAGGCAAAATGATGTCTCTAGGATAAAAAAATCCCCCTTTATATCAAATATGGAATTCAAAGAGATTCCAAATGTAACATTAATCTTTTCTAATATTTAATGATCAATAACATTAAAAAAAGTAAAAGAAATGTTAAGGCTGAAAAAAATTAAATAGAAAAAACAAACAATATAAGGACTAGTAAAAAATACCAATATGGCCAAACATTTTAATCAGTTCCATGATCATAATACACAATCTGATGGTCCAGATCCTTAAAAGAGTAGCTCATCCGGTCTATGGGGATGATTGATTCTCCCTCCTTTGCAGAAGGGAGATGTACTGAATTTTTGTAAATTAAATTAGACACCCATATTCCCAAAGGCCCCAAAAAAATGGGGCAACACTCATGAGTAAAAGGGTTTTTTTTTGCTATACGGTTTCCAATGCTTGAGGGTCTCTTTACTGTCCTCCCAAGTTACTCATTTAGATTCACAAATCTCCATCTACAGGCTTGATTTGATCTTTACATTATACCATCAAACAAGTGCGCAGGACTCTCTAACCTTTTCCTGCTTTTCTCGACAATGAACCTCAACTCCACTGTCTTCATCATCCTGGGACTCCTGGGATTTCTTCTTTTTAGAGCTCTAACAATTGGAAAGCATAAATGATTATTGAGGGGTGTTTTTATTTTACCCCTTACTGAAATGAGTGACTAACAGACAATACTTATCCACAAGTTGAAAACAGAGGCAGTAACATTTATTATTGTATATTATATGCAAACTTAGATACTGGAACCAATAAAAACCAAAAAAATAAACAAAAAACCAGGTCAGACTTTTGTTGCATTTTATTAAACTAAAACAATTTTATTAAAGCGGAACTGTAGGTGACACTTTTTTTTTTTTTTTAAATTGGTCCAAGTAGCTAACTGTATGCATACACAATGATAAGCGTTATTATCACTGTGTTTTATTGTTTGATTTGATTGTATCAAACTGATCATTTATCCTTTTATTCTGAACACTCACAGCCTGTCAGAGTGCAGCTGGTGAACTGAACTTTACAGAATGTACAGAGACTCTGTTTGAAAAACTACAAAGCATTCATCTACTATTCTTCTAGAACAGTGCCGGTCTGTGTCAGGACCGCTGAAAGCCCCTCTGTACAGATCCTCCATCTGCTGGTCATATATGCTACATAACAAGCCACAATACCTTGACTTCACTTTCAGATTTTGTTCGTCTTCTCTTTCTTTTATCTCCTTTCTTTATCCTCAATTTGAAGCCAGCAGACTCCGGGATAACATCAGGATTTCCAGTATCATCAGAAAGAAGTGACAGCTCTATGTGATTCTTCTCTTTATTTATACTAAAAAATTAAAACAAACACACACACACAAAATGTAAGCTAAAACAAGAAGCCTAATGGCACCTCCCCAATATAAAAAGACATTTTTAGCATCTGTTCATATAATTTGAGCTCCACAGTAACCTGGATTGAATATTTATAAAGCATTTGGGCTCTGGTGTGTAAACTAACTAGTAGTAACATGTCACTAGTGGGAATTTTATGGACTGGTATGGGGTGAAAACTTGAACATCATTTTTAAATACTTATGTGGCCTTTTTATTGAAGGTAACATGTATGAAAAAAAAAAAAAAAAAAAAAAGTACAAAGATTGTCATTGTTGACCACTTTACAAAAATGCTACTAGTCCGGCTGATTCTGGGCTCAAAACTTTGACACTGGCCTGAAACAAACATGCAGGTCAGATCTCCTAATCTGAAAACTTACTCTAAGAAAAAATACTACTACTACTCCAAGAAAAGTGCTAAAGCCTCTAGGGTAAGAGTCAGCAGTTGTGCTGATGCTAAACTTTAAAGTGTATTTACCTACTTTAAGACCGGGCCTACTCTGACATTTCCCACATATATGTACAAATCAGCATTTTTTGGCCAGAAAATTACTTAGAACCCCCAAACATTATATATTTATTTTAAGCACAGGCACTAGAAAATAGAATGGTGGGTGTTGAAAAGTTTTTCAAATGCAATTTTTTGAGGGAAAAAAAAAAAATACTTAAATGAATTTTAGTGCACACAAATATAACATAATACCCATTTTTTGGTTAAATAAAAAAAGGATGATATTTTGCCAAGTAAATACCAAATGTGTCACGCTTTAAAATTGTGCACGACCGTGGAACAGCGACAAACTATTTACATTTAATTATCCATAGACAACGCTTCAAAAGCCTTTAAAGGTTACCAGTTTTGTTACACAGGAGGTCTGGTGCTAGAATTATTGCTCTAACTCTGACGTTTGTGGTGATAGCTCACATGTGTTAAGCGATTGCTGTTTATGTAGTGCAGAAACAACGTGTGTTCACCTTCGCAAGCATGGTGGGATGGAGGCACTTTAAACATTTTTTTTTTTTAATCAACTTGATTGCCTTTACAACAACATCCCTTGTGATATAATAGCAGCAACAGGTACTCTTTACTGAGAGATCTGGGGTCCTCTGCCCTTAAACACTCAACCTCTGGAAGTTTTTACCCCCTTCATGACCAGGGCATTTGTTTTCTACTCATCACTGCACTACTTTAACTGGCAATTGCACGGCCATGCAACACTGTATACAAACGAAATTTATATCACTCTTTTCACACAAATAGAGCTTTCTTTTGGTGGTATTTAATCAACATTGTTTTTTTTATTGGTTTGATCCAATGCTTTCCCAAGCTAGTAATGGCTTGTTTACATCCAGCAAAACTGGAAGTGACAAAATATTTGTTGCTTCTGGTTTCTTAGGCCATAGAGATGCTCAGGGATGTTCCTGTCCTTGATCACCTCTATGGCCAGCTGGCAGAACCGACAGAAGAGCCCGAAAAATCGGCTGGACGGGAGGCTCTCTCTTTCGTCACCGGTAAAAGAGATTCAGCTGCTAATTAGCTGCTAAGATTGCTTTTACAAAACAGTCTATCACCAGCTGAAAACACAGATAATAGGATGATGCTTGTAGCTGCAGGCATCTTCCCACTATCAGCACTCAAAGACCTGTGACATACTGGTACGTCGCTGGGGCTTAAGTGGTTAAATCCTAAACCTCTCTTATTTGTTCTCTTTTGGTATGGTAAACATATCATTGGAAGCACTGTGTTTTATATGTTTGAGAAGTGAAACATTGAAATGAAATTCAGAGCGGTCCCGTGTCCTCCGCACACTTCAGTGCCATCTCAAAGACCCCCCCAGACTCTTTTCTTGAACTACAGAATGATAAGCCTTTATGTTGTAGAGATCTGCGAGTGGGAGTTAAGTGGTTTAGCAAAATACACAGGTGGCTGACATGACTCAAACCACAAAAAAACCTTTATGTTGTCAGCCCACAACACGCCATAAGACTGGAGTGCATTCCTGGAAGATACACGGGTATTTTTCTGTAAACGTGGGGTCTTTAAAAAGGTATAAAGCACAGGAAATTCTTTATGTATTAGAGATCTGCATATTTTTTTATTTTACCTTGACATACGCCCTGAAATCTGAATCTCAGTCAGCTTTTTAAAATTAGTTTCCTATAATGTACCAATATTTTTTGTTTGCTATAACCTTGTCCCAATTTTGTGTTTATTAACTTCTTAGCTCCTGCGATATTAAAGGGGCAAAAAAAAAAAAAAAAATCACATCCACAGGAACCACATGGATGGATCGATAGGGATTCTACATCAATACTGGTGAATTATAGCATCTGATAGAACTACATTTCCCATTAGCTCTGTGCCTGCAGTATATGTGTGTGGTGACAGGGGGCAGACAACTGCCCAGTCTTGGCCAGTTGCATCACTGAACACCACTGTAATAGGTTCACAGGCACAATTGTAACAAATTAAAAATATCACATACAAATAACATTACCAATAGCAGATAGAACATGAACTGCAGTATCTTCCTTGCTGCCGCACACCTTTCCCCTCTCAGCTCATATACAACTAAGAGCTGTAGGATGCTATACTTGGGTGAGGTGTAAGTGGTATACATTCTGTTCCCAGCTGTATGGCCAAGAGTACCTATCTGTGGGAGAAGAGCTGGGCAGCAAGTGCCAATGATAAGGCTGCCACTTTGAAAACAGTGACCCTCATTCTCGGGCAGTGCTGACCACTGATTCAACACTGCCTAAAGAAATAACCATGGGCAACTGGATGCATGGTGCTTATAGAGCTAGCCAAGTTGAAAGCAACATTTCAAATATACTTGTCTGTGCCTTGAGTTCAGTTTAAGTCTCAGCTTGCCTTGAAAGAGAGTAATTCCACCACAGGCTAGAACAGGGCTTGAAATTTCTGCTAGCCTGCTCGACAATGGTGAGTGGAAATTATGGTGGGGGCGAGTGTGTCCCCCAGGGCCGTCTTGCTGAGCAGGCTCGGAGCTCAGGCTGGATTTGTCATTGGCACTGGGAGCCATCAGACTGCTCAATAGCTGGGCGCAGTGAAAGCAAAGCAAGGAGTGTGTGCTGTGCTCTCTGCCTCCCCCTAGAGTGCAGTACCCGGATCTGTGAGTGAACAACGAAGTACTGCAACTTTTTATGGGGGAGGGAGGTGGTGGTGGGTGTGTGTGTACGTGTGTGTCTGTGCATGCATGTACAATTGTACATGTGTCTGCGTGTATGTACATGTGTCTACGTGTATGCACGCGCATGTACGTGTGTGTGTGTTTATGTACGTACATGTGTCTGTGTGTACATGTATGTGTATGTATGTACGTACGTACATACATGTGTCTGTATGTATGTACAGGTGTCTGTATGTATGTATTTCTGTGTATGTACATGTATCTGTGTGTATGCGTGTCTGTACGTGCCTGTGTGTGTGTATACATGTGTCTGTATGTGTGTGTACATGTGTCTCTGTGCGTGTATATGTACATGTCTGTGTGTGTGTACAGGTGTCTCTGTTTGTGTGTGTTTGTTGGTGGCGAGTAACTCTAAGGCCTGGCTAGTAGCTCAGGACTTGAAAATTTAAGCCCTGGGCTAGAACAGTGTTTCTCAACCTCTTTTTAGTCAAGGCAACCTTTAAATCTCTGAACAATTGGCAAAATAATTTGTTCACTCCTCTTGAGGTTTCTTTGAGCAATTTATGGAATCTTCCTCCCCTTTCTAGTCACCCACCTTTACCCTCCTACAAATTTCCCTGTACAGTACTAATTCGAAGGTATCCTTTTTAAGGGATATGTTTCCAGAAATTGGTTTGCTTAGTGGTTCTCAAGCGCTACGTTTGCTACAGTTTGTAGAGCCATTGTTAACTTTAGAAATCCTGTACACATATGCGTTTTTATTTATAGTATTGCAATCCCATGCCCCTTTGTATGCTAATAATTTGAAAATCTTCTTGAATCAACAGTAGTTTTGATGCACCTACTGGCTTGTACACAATTCTTGTGAAATGTTTAAAGTATTTTGCCAAGACACCCTAGAAGGCACTATGGTTGAAAAGGTATGAGATAAAACACATGGGGTTGATTTACTAAAACTGGAGCAATCAGTATCTGGTGCAGCTGTGCATGGTAGCCAATCAGCTTCTAACTTCAGCTTGTTCAATTAAGCTTCGACAACAAAACATGGAAGCTGATAGGTTTCTATAAAGAGCTGCACCAGATTTTGCAAGCTCCAGTTTTAGTAAATCTTCCCCATGCTGGAAACCCAAACTTTTACTCTGGTAAATTCACAAAAAGTATTGGACAACTTACGAAATAATTTTGGCAGTAAGCAACTTTCCTACAGGAATGTGTTCCTTGTACATCTCTATCTTTTCAACATAACAACAGGTGACATTCTTGAATAGGATATGACCATCAAGCGAACTGGATATCCTGCAGCAAGAGCACAGCAATATTAGTTGTCTGCACGGCACAATACTGACCACCATCATACAAAATCACATGACTGCACAAACAGAACATACATACCTGAAAAACACACCTTTCTCTGTAACTGCACTAACAAAACCTTTAATGAGCTGCCCTTCCTTCAGGAAGTCGATAGAAGAGATGTCTTCATCTATCGGTTTGCTGACTTTTCCAGGATTTATTCTGTACAAGAAGGGAAGAATGCAACATTCAAAGTAAACATGCTTGTAAATATTGAGTGTGTGTTAAACCTTTGGATTATACTGCCAATTAACAGTGAACTAGATAATGCCAAACAAAAAAGATAGGCACGCCCAGGATAGCCCAGGCTACTACCAGCATGCCTCAGTTCATGCAAGCAGTCCCTCAAAACACACACACAAAAAAAAAAGTTTTCTTTTTAGTTAAGAAACTTTTGGGGAGTCCAGAAGCAATCCAACTGAAGAATGGGCAACACAGCAAATGCTTAAAGTCCTACAACATAAACTGGGGATTGACTGCAGCTCAACAAGCCAGCTGAGGGACCTTCTGTCCCAAGATGGCATCAGAAAAGGCCTGAACATCCACCTGAGAGAACTTAGAAAACATACGAACAGAGGACCAGAAGGCTTAGAAACAATAGAATGATGCGGAGGAGCGTAAGAGGCACTCACAGTTCTAGAAGCATGCAGGAAAGGGTGGAACTCAGTCCTTGAGACCTTAAGCTTGAATACTATGTCAGAGTCATCTAGAAAGGGTGTAAAATGAGAAACTGGTACCCCTTTGCATGGACCTTCCAGAATGACAAAGACTCAGTCTTTCTAGGAAGGAGTGGGCGAGTGATGGACTGTTTTTGCCCAAACCACATACAAGGGAAATTTCTTCATGATGCACTGGAGACTATCAGACGGATGGAAACTGATGTCCTTATTGGGGTAAAAGGCAGAACTACCTTAGGTAGTTCTGAACCTCAGTGCTATTCTGTCCTTGTGCAGTACCAAAAAGCAACCAGCTCAGGTACTCACCATGCACTAGCAAATAATGAAAGCTATCCTCCTATAGGTGGCAATATAACCTGAAGGTTTAACACATCCTGTGACCCTCAATGGGTGGGAAAAATATTTAAAGAACCTGTGTCTTAAAGTTAAAATGTTTTTTCCCTAATGTATTCCTTGCATTAAGAAAATTTTTTTTCATTTGTTGTGCGGACCCCTCCCTAAACACTTAACAGTACCTATTTATTATTTCAAGTGCTTGTATATCATCAATTTATGCAGCGCTTTACACATATAAATATATGGTACATCCACATCCGTCCCTAACCCCCAAGGAGCGTACTAGGGCCACATACTAGGGTTAATTTAGACAGGATCCAATTAACCTACCAGCATGTCTTTGGAGTGTGGGAGGAAACCCACGCAGGCACAGGGAAAACATGCAAACTCCAGGCAGGTGGTGCCATGGTTGGGATTTGAACCAACGACCCTAGTATTGCCAGGAGGAAGTGCTAACCATTTAGCCACTGTGCTGCCCAGCCCTACCGGAGCCCTTTATCAATCCAACACTGTACACGGCTGCATCTGGTCTCTCTTCCCTCCCTGCTCTCACAAGAGACTCTGTGCAGTGGGAGCTGAGAGGTGAGGGGGACTAAGCCATGCCATGTTGTCTTTAGCAATGACTGCTGAGCAGTGGTTTCTGGTGGGGTGGGGGACAGCAAGCCCCATTAGAATACACTAGTACAGTGGGGAAGATCACCGCACTAACATCGCTTGTGTTGGTACGGCAATCTATCAGTTTTTTTTGGGGTTCAGCCTGCTGGGTTGGACAAAAAGAAAAAATGAGTGTGCACCCAGATTAAGGATGGCTGATGAGCAGAAAATGTCAGGCATATCACAAGTTAACAATCAGATTTCAACCATGTGCTGTGTGTGTGTGGATGAAGGGGGGGGGGTTCACAGTCCACTCCAGCACCCTCCTAGATCAGGCCATGTGGCACTTTCTTGCCTGGGGAGTCCCTGCATTTGCTACCGATGCTTTGACAAACATGGTATCCCTCCAGACGTACCAGGGTCTGGCTTAACAGTGCCGGCCACTGCACCATTGTGGCTGCCATGCCTTGCATAGCATCCCTCCAGACATGCCTGAACTACATGCTTAAAGTGTTACTAAACACAGGACCCTGCAGTCACTATATCTGCTCTCCCACAGTACACAGAACATGGCAATTCTTTTAGTAAATATAAATGAAATAAAATAAATACCATTTCTCATCAGCAGTTAGAGCAGTCATGTGACTTCCATCAGTGGAAGTTTTTGCAGTCCCTTGATCAATCACCAATTGTGTGGACTAAACCTGTGCTTTACTATTGATAGTTATATCAATGCCCAAAACTACCATGACGTACATACTGCCATCATAACATTGCCAGACAGATATTTTTACATTACAAAGATTCTCTTTACAGTGGTTACTTATACACTTTGCATAGAAGACTCCTTATTGCAAGCTAACAGTATTTCACTATGAGTGCCACCTGTCAGGGAGGTGCTTAAAGCAAACCTTTTTAAAAACTTTCCGGATGTCTGCATAGGAGTCAAGAGCATTTACAGAAAATTACAATGTCAGGTTATATGCACTTGCCCTTTCTATTCTAATCAAGAGATAATACCCTGCAGCTGAGGGTAAGGCTACATATACAAGGAAAGTAACATTCAACAATAAACAGCAATAATAAGAATTCAAAAAAGATAAAGTAGGCCATTTCACTGCAGCTGCATCCTCCAATATTTCAGTTACTTATCATCCTTTTAAACTAAGCTTGCCATGTCTTTCAGGCTCCGTTCACTTGGGCGTTTAGCCACGCTGTGAATCATAGTGATAAGTATCTACTGACTGGAGCCTTAGTCTTCATTTATTTTTTGATCCTTTATAGCAGTTTTTTCACCAGCAAATGCACCAAGATAAAAGAGGTGAAAAAATAGACTGAAAACTGCACAAAACAGATACAGAATTTTCAGACTGCAATATAAGAAGACAGATAACAGCAGGAATAGAACTGCAAGGTATAACTTAAAAAAAAAAAAAGGTAAGTAAACATATATGAAAGAAAACAAACAAAAATTCTGGGCTTAACCTAACTGGTCTTAAAGATGCTCACTCCCCACCTATCACCTTTGCTGATTAACTTATGTAAGAAAAAGGTGTATGCTTACTTATTTCAGCCCGGCCCAGTCATGTGATCTAACTTCCCTGTGTATGTTAACAACTGCAGGGGAGAGGAGGAAATGCAGACAATGGATGGACCAAAAGGAGCCTATGGGTGACATCCCCATAGGTCACTCCTAGGCACTAGCCATTGTCTTAATAGCAATTGCCAAAGGTTCCACAGCAAGTGCATAAAGCAACAGGGATAGTGAGCACCCCCTGCTATGTACTCCTGGATCATGAAAAGGGACTGGAGACTCTGCCATTGACCAAAATCCAAGTTACAGGAGCCTGATATAAAAGCTGAAGCCACGTTTGGTCTGAAGCTGTATCTATAAAGGCATTCCCAGAGGTATCCCCACTCTACTGAATCAAATGCCTTAGCAGCATCTAAGGTAACCTCTACTCGCGAGCCAACAGTCATGGGTGAACTGTAAATTCATAAAAAGTTATCCAGGATTAAAGGCCGTGTTTTTATTTGGCATGAACCCAATCTGATCCTGATGAATCAAACTGAAAATCGTCTTATTCAGGAGTAGAGCCAAGATTTCAGCCAAAATGTTAACTTCCATTGTAAGGAGATAGGATGGTATGCCTCTGAAAATAGGGGATCCTTTCCGTGTTTGGGTATTAGTACAATCAGTGCCTCCCCCATGGAAGTAGGGAGCGTAGCAGAGTCAAAAATATAAGTGAATAAGTCCTGCAGTTCTGGAATAAGGACCACGTGAAACGGAGCACAAAATTCTAAAAAGGGAGCCCATCCGACCCTGGCGCCTTAGAGGGAGCAAAAGTGCCATGGCCTCTGCTATAATCAGCACTAGCCATTGTGAAGCACTCTCGCCTCTCCCCTGAAAATAGTTTTTTTTTTTTTTTTTTTTTTACACAGGTAGGTGTTAGGAGTGAGAGGGAGCATGTTTAAGACCCTTAATATCCTTGTCCACAGTCTCTAACCATTTCCCGGATCCTGTTCGCAGTCTCTGACCATCTCTTGTATCCTGTCCGCAGTCTCTGACCATCTCTTGTATCCTGTCCGCAGTCTCTGACCTACTCCTGTATCATGTCTGGACAGGATACATGAGATGGTCAGAGACCGGACAGGATACAGGTGGTTAGAGACTGCAGACAGGATACGGGAGATGGATAGAGACTGCGGACATGACTCCCCAGTAATGATCATTCATGGTCATCATAGGGAATAAAAATGTCTCCTGTATTGCTTTCCATCTGCTCCCCTCTCTGTATAGTAGATGATTTGAAGGACAGCAGTACCCTGCCCAGAGGCTCCTGGCACTGGCGGCAAGCACTTCAGCCTCCTCAGCCAGTCTTGGCTGTGATTCATAAAAGGCCCCAAGCAGCTCCATTACATCACTTCTGGCTTGCCCCAGCTCAGCCCAGCCAAGACGGCCCCCCCCGTCCAAGCCCCCCCGCTGGTCTCCCCCTGAAAAATGCCGCCCAAGGCCAACGCCTTGTTTGCCTCATGATAGATACACCCTTGCCCATGTCTACATACTCTATATGTCCCATTGCAGAGTGGGAAGCTTTTCTGTTATATAAAAAGGTACATTGTGAATTAGTTGTCTGAATATTTGTAGGAATGAAATTTGTTTTGCCTACAGTCCCCTTTACAAAGTTTTCTTTTAATTGTTTTTAAGCCAAAAATCTGGCACAATAAAAAAAAAAAAAAAAGACAGTTATGGATATCTAGGAGTTTGTATATTTCACACAAGGACGACAATTGCAGAAAAGACCGATCAATGTATCGCACTGCTTATTAAAATGGCAAACACTGTGTGCTAAGGACACTAAATGTAGAAATGGGCAACTTACCGGGATTCTCTTAGGGACACATCTATTTTAGTTCCAACAGAGAGTATGCAACACCTGGAAAAGAAAAGAACATAGTCACTGTTAGGATTTTTGTTTATTGAAGAGAACTTCAATAAAGACCAAATGCCAAAACAGACATAGATACAGTCTTGCTGGAAAATTGTGCAAATCTTGATTCTTTTCTGCAACAGCTGGATCTGCTCCCATTCCTTCCTGCTTTCCAACCCCTCTTAAGAAATCACTACAGTGACCAGAAGCTTCACTGACCAAAAGTGAGGCTCATTAAGGACAGGACTAAACTAAACTACTAAACAGATAAATCTTTATGTTTCAGTGGTACATACAATGATCATCAATACAATGAACAATAATATTCAGCGCACACACAATATAGAATAGGATGGCAACGAATGGCTAAAATTAGAAGGAAAAGTTAGGATTGACTGTACAATGGATGTGGTGATGGTGGTCAAGGAGTCAATGAGTCCATAGGATGGACAGAATGAGGAAGAAGCAGACCAAGGAGACAAGGCACATGGGATGGAACTGGCAGTGCCTCGTCAGGGATATCCTGTGCAATGGATGTTGTGACGGTTGTAATAACAATCAGTGCTTCCTTAAGATGGGCAGAATGAGGAAGGAACGGACCAGAGGAACAAGGCACATGGGATAGGACCGGCAACTCCTGATCAAGGATGTGGGGGATCCCTTGGAGACAAGCAGAAGAGAAAAGAGGGCGCCAGGTCAGAGTGAGTTAAAAAAAAACGTAAACTTTATTACAGAAGACTAGCATCTAAAATTCCTTCACTCGGCATGCAGAATGAGAAGGCAGACAGAGTGAACTGCGGTCCTGCTCCTCTGTCTGCCTTCTCATTCCGCATGCCGAGTGAAGAAATTTTAGATGCAAGTCTTCTGTAATAAAGATTACATGTTTTTTTACTCACTCGGACCTGGCGCCCTATTTTCTCTTCTACTTATATTTTCAGCTGCTGTTATATACTTGGAAATAACAATCACTGTGATTTCACAATGCTCTGTTTAGGTCTTTTTTAATTATATGGTCAGTTTGAATTGCCCAAGTATGTGACCAGTTTAATTTAAAAGAAAAATAAAATCATTCTGTACACAATATGCAAAGTTGTACTCAATGAACAAAACACTGAATTCTGCAGGAGCTGAATTACTGATCACAATAAGCACTCTAGTTGTCAAAACTAGGTATTTAAAAGCAACGCCTGTCTGTCTATGAAAGGTTTCCAGTCTGTCAGGTCATTAAAACCATTTATATTTTGCAGCTTTTTCTAAGAGAGGCATCTATTGCAAGTAAACAAAAACTAAAAACACCACACACACACACACACGTACGTACACACACACACACACACACACACACACACACACACACACACACACACACACACACACACACACAACACAACACACACACACACACACACACACACACAACAAAACAAAAATGGAAAATTTTATATTTGAGTGCAGTAATTTACTTGCATACACATGTTTACTCATCTATAAGCATATTTACACGCATATAAAAAAGGAGTATATTTACAACACTGGCAATAAATAAAAATTTTTACTCATGTATACACTTACACACAATTACTCAACATAACTCAAGGTCTTTACCCACATTTTCTTTTACTAAGGAACTTTGTCAATAAGCTTCTAAGTAAACATCAGTAAATTATGAAGCCTGTGTGCAACAGGGCCTTGTAGTGTTAGATTTGTCCTTGTCCTGTTGCTAAAGTCTTTTTACATAGTACTCTAGCTTGGAGCTCTTCTAAAGCTTTGGTAATCATGACTTGGTACGTAGGAGTAGCAGGATAGATATCATTCTCTGTCACCAGTATTCTTCCAGTGCTGGAGGGGATAATATGTGTGGCTGCACCTGTGACAGGCATTTGTCCAGTGTCAGCTATGCCTGATATTCCCGTCCCCCTGTTCCATTCATAAACATTATACTATATGTTCCCACAATAGAAAGTGCTCCATGAAGGGAAGACAGATGGATGAATGAAAGGTCCATATCCTCCTCCTATCATGGAATGCTTTTCATTGTGGGAATCAAAAGTACAGCTCCTATGAATGGAGTGATAGGGCAGAAATGGGGAGCATATCTGGGACTTAACGAGTGCTGCTCAAAGGGGCAGATGCTCATATTAACGACACAGCAATGAGAGATCACTGCTGTGAGTGTTTTAGCAGACAGAAGGCTTTGGATTTCAGCCAAACACAGCAGCCACCAGCACATAGGACACACTTCATTCATGGCAAGTACCATCACTGGTGCTCTATTTTTCTTTTAAAAAAATAAAGAACTTAAACTTTAAAAGGTATTCCGTCACTTAACATGGACTCCCTGGGTATACAAAAGTTTAAATACTTAACAGCAGTAGACTAATTGTTTAATCCTCATTGATTTGGAAGAAAAAAAAATTCTGTTTCACTTTCCTATCTATTCAGCTCTCTCTTCTGCTTTATACTTCTTGCCTCCAATGTTGCCTTGGCTTATCCTAAATTGTAATCTGTCAGCTTCTCATGTACATCTGGATAAGGCACATCCAAGGTTCCGCTTAGACTAATCACTTTGCTTTGGGAGCAGACTCTCCCAAGATCTGAATTTATATATAAATTACTGTAACTGCTACAACTGGTCAGCACCGTAATCTACTCACAATAAATGCTTGAATTATGACACATCAGTAAGAGCATGAACTGAGCGTTTAAACTAGGAGGAATTTTCTTAGGTCCATCAAATATGTACATTTATTTAATAATTTGCACCAGTATTGTAAAATAAAATTGCCAACCTTACAAACATTCCAGCGGCAAACTTCTCCAGGGAGATTTCATCATAGCAGTCATTTAACTGGAAGAGGCTAGCTCTTCCGGTCTTTCCAAATGGTAAGGTTATCTGTAGGCCTGTACTTGGAATTACACTCTTTACGCAGCCATAAGTGATACAACCCTCTGTCAGAGCGTCAAGGTCTGTAAAAAGATAGATTGGAATTTCAGTAAATACAAGATGTTCAGTCAAAAGGCATTGGATGTGCCATATAGGAAAGTTTACTTTCAAATATAGTGTATGTTGTGAGGCCATTTAACTACACAATATGATTAGCTGAACTAAAATGCCTGATCACTTGGAAGTTAGATATGAAGGTAAATGGAAAAACGTACAAACCATGCAGAAATTACATTTGCAACAAATAAGGGAGGCACAAAAGCATTAGCAATGCTCATGTGTACTGCATACACACAAAGATATTATTGATGCAGCTGTACATTACCTATTAAAGACAAAAAGAGCTTTTTACGTGTTTTATCCACCTCAACCACAGTAGCAGATAGCGCCTCTCCGTGTTTGAAATGTTTCTCTGGACGCTTGAAGACCTAAAAAAGACATAGGACGGAATGACTCCTTATCTGTAAATAGATGGTCTTATGAGAAAAAGTATGATGCTCACACCTTAGCAGAAGATGATATAAGCAGCTGTTCTACTTTGCCACGAACCCCATGAGAGATTTCTACCTCCAGACATTGCTTCATTCTGTTATACTGCACAAAACAAAAAGAGACTAATAGTGCAAGTTGTTCTATATGTTGCGCATATGTGAGGACCTCAGGAAAGAATATAAAGTGAGGAAACAAATTAAAAAGCGCAAGCACACACACTGAACCTTTAATAATAATAATAAAAAAAAAAAAAAAAAACAACTTTAAGATATTCACAGAATGTTTGTTCTTTAGCAATGAATAAACGTCGTATGGCTCATGTGAAGGATTTCTGACGCTTAGCAGATTTAGCTAGTAGCAGCCAGCCACATTCAACTGGGCTTGTTATGTAATGTTTAAAATATGTCACCACTCATCCAAGAAGTGTCCTCAGTTCTGAGTGTCAGAAACATATCCCAGCATTTATAATCCATACTAGTAAGTCACCTTTATCCAAATCACCATGGTCTCTTAGCCAACTGTATAGCTATAAACCCTGGGATATTTTCCAAACACTTTTTAGAACTGGAAAAGTTGTGTCTTGTCTTTTACAAATTAGAACAAATACATTTTATGGGACCATCTACTACTGGATATATATTGGACAAACGAAAACCTTCACATACATATTACAGATTTACCTTGCCTACATAGCAGGTCACCACATCACCAGATGAGTATGTATTCAGGGGTTTTTCTCTTTCAACATTTACCTCAGTATTCAAAAGACTGAAATAAAAAAAAAAATAAACAAAAAAACTAAATAAGTGGGGAGTCATATCTAAAAGAAATGTCCATCTTAACAGAGGCTGCCAAACCACCACCAAATTTGTCTCTCAGTTAAAGCCATACTACACCAAAATACAAGAGGCATAGTACCCAGGGTATACTACAGAATTTTTTCCACCTAGAATCGTGGCTTTTATAGAGAAATGCGGGCATCCACCTCTTCAGTCTATTCCTTTTAAAGAAAACCTGCGCTAAGAATTGTAAGTAGGCTCCCATTTCCAGAAGGCCACTTTATCCAGGGCAGTGGCTCAGTATGGAAGCCTGACAAGCAATCAACTAGCATTTTCTACAGTTATAGCCTCTTATCAGTAAAGGTATCTTTTAGGTGTTCCCGTCAGCAACAAAAAGTGCCGTTTTAGTAATTTACTTGGCTGGGATTTTTTAAAGTTGAACTACAATCACCCAGTCTTCATGGCTTCTTTGCCTTCTCATCTTCTAAATTGGACACCTACGGGAATATGGATTGGCTGGGCTGTTGTAACTCACAAGCATGCGCACGAGAGTCAGTTATATTGAGCCGGAGGCATGCTGCGAATGTACATCGCATTGGGCATGTACAATAAAAAGACGATTGCGAACAGGCATAGTACAACATATATTATGTGTCTTCTGCAAAAAAGATCCCGCCTGCTTGCATTTTTGTTTTCTTTTTAAGTATAGTTCTGCTTTTATTTTCTCGTACTTAAAACGTTGGTTTGTGCAAAAACAACAAAGTTGGTTGAGATAGCATCTTACCTGGGAAGAACACTGAGTTCAAGAACTGAGTGCATCAGATGAGGGTGACTAATGGGAAGGAACCTGTCATGAGATACATGTAAAAACAAAAAAACTTAATAAGGGCACAAAAAAATAATCTATTCGTAATTCTTCATTAATAATCTGATGACAGCATACTTGCGTGTCTTGATATCTCGTCCTCCTATTACACGACAAGTCACGCTCTGCTTAGGCCTAAGCTTGGATGTAGGCAGGGCACCTGTAAGAACATTCTCCATGATCTGAGAGGCATGGATGGAACCCATTAGTTTATCCGTAATAGACACCAACACACTGGTGGGCTTGACACTTTTCACAGTCCCAGTGATAATTTCTCCAAGAAGTGGCTTTCTTTTTTTAAAGTTCAGTGGCATCTTGCCTTTTTTCCCTTCCTGAGCTGGTATTTTGCACTGCCAATAGAATTCCATGTTCATCAACATCCACAGACAATAACGTCACTGAGATCTTCTGTCCTAGACTTAGCCTTTCAGATTCAAGCCGAAAAGAGTCATTAAAGTGTCGTTTGAGTGGGATAGCCACGAGCTTTGAAGTACCTTTTAAAGACGCCACAGCAAATTCTTCTGACAAATGCTGTATGACTGCAGAGTGCACCGATTTTTCTGGAAACTAGCATAAAAAGCAAATTTTATTTTTTTTCTTAAATAAAGCTGTGCAGGAGTCAAGTAATTTGTAATAAAAAACAAAACAAAAAAACAAAACCTGTTTTTGCAAAAAATATTAACACTACTAGATATCCTCAGTCTGAGGGCCAGCAACATTCAACATATGTTCTCTGAGCCAAGATCACCCTGGACCCACCCTAGTCTGTGATTGGACAGTGAGGAGATCATCTCTTTATCACTCTACTTTCTCTCAGAATATGGGCTGACAAGGTTACAAGAGGGTGATTCCAAGCTGTACTTACAGTGCTTGCATTTAACAATACATTTAATGAAGCATTAATGATTATAGAGCTTCCTTAAAATGTATCTTTAATATATCTGCTTAACGTTTAGCTGTAAAGGATCATAGCAACAATAGCAAACAAAGCATGTTCATCCACAGCTTCAGAACTTTAATGGAAATCAGTATCAGGAGAAATGTTGAGGCTGCCATTGTTTCTTGAAATACTAGTACATAACTATAATGGATGTTGGATCTTTTTTTAATGCAAGTTTAAACACGATTTTTGTATTGTCAGCACTACAACAATTGTGTCAGCTAACAATTTTACAGCATTCTTTGGATTCCTGAATAAGATATATTTAAAAAAAGTGATATTAAAGGCTCCCTTTTTTTTTTTTTTAACTTACAAGGTAAAAAAAAAAAAAAGAAATCACTTACAGCCAAGTGTTTGCATTGCTGCTATTCACCTGCTGAATTTGCCCATATTTTCTGGTATTGCCCTTTGATTTGATGGCCATTTCTTTTGCTTTTGTAATTCTATGCACTTTTTTATCACCTGTCTATTGAGTGTTCAGGTGCACTGTTTTATATTGTATTCAGTAAAAAGAACTTCTTAAAAAGAAAGCAAAAGTTTATACTTACCTACTCTGTGCAATGATAGTGCTGTCTCTTGCCTCCTCTTCCGAGATCCCCCTTCTGCACTCTTGACTCCTTCCCGGTGTGTGCCCCCATAGCAAGCTGTGTGCTAGGGGGGCACACATGCAGGCATGCTCCCGAGCTGGGCAGTGTGCATCCAAAAGCACACAAGGTTTCTCTCCACCTCCCTTTCACAAGATTTGATTTACAGCAGTGAGAGCCAATGGTGGGAGAATCAGCTACTGAAAAGTTTTTGCCTTAATGTGGGGAATGTACTAAGGTTAAAAACCTTTGATGACTTTAGAACAACTTAAAATCCAAAGTTAGGAACTCCCAGTGTCTGAATCTTTGGTACACATTTCCAGCCACTGCATTCCCCAAGAAATAGGAAGAAAACAAGGGAGGAAAAAAAATTAATTTTAACTTTTTTTTATGGTTTAAGGGGACTAGTCCTTGGAATTTTCAAAACAGAATTTTACAGCAACAGAAATAATACTTACATTCTCTTTACACTTCTTTAGCAAAGCTTCTTCTATGGAGACATGGACGTGAGCTTTCAATATATCAACATGAAGAACCACAGCCTTTACTTTCTGTCCCAGTGCTAAAGGTTTTTTTCTGTAATGTAAACCATTTCAAAAAGACTTAGACAACGTTTTCCTTGGGGCTCAGCAACAAGCAAATGCAATGCACCCAAAATACTGCAACTGGTACCCAACTTTTTAGAGCCCTGCTGCAAATGGAGATGTGTGAGCCTCTACCCTAAACAGCTGCTGGTTCTTACATAACAATGACTAGCTTTTACTCAAATACATTAATAGGCAGTTACATGAATAACCAGTATCTGCTTAACAGGGACTGCAGGCAAGTGCTGCCTGTGTCACTGAGTCTCTTGTGCCCCATAGCAAGCCCAACACTATTACTAAGTGTAGCCACTATTACTAAGTGTAGCCACTAAGTTTAGCCTAATTGTTAACAAAAGAAAAACACAAAGGGCGCACTTTCCTCGTGCATTACCATGGTAACAAATGAATTTATTTAAAAAAAGTAACAAAGCTTTGAAAAAGGGAGTTCAACTCCAGAAACGCATCAGTATTTCCACCGGGCAGTTTCACCACAGGACCCCCGTCGGGTGGCATTGATACATTTGGCTCTATGTTCGTTTTTCAAATTTGTTTTGAGAGTTTACATGTTACGTTTTTAAATAAATTCATTTGTTACCACGGTAACGTACGAGGAGAGTGAGCCCTTTTGTGTTTTTCTTTTGTTAGTATCAAGATTCCCCAATCTTTAGAGGGCTGCACCTCATCAAGTGACAGGTACCATTTTTTACGTGGCGCATGGAGATTTGAGTGCTGACAATTGTTTTATTTGAGTAGCCTATTTGTTGACGGATGTCTAAATAAGAATATAAGAGAAAAACAAACATTACCTATTCCCTTTCGTTGCACAGTTGATATTTTTTGAGCTCCAGGGACTTGGCTAGTGCTTAACAGAACTGAACCATTATCTTCCAATTTTTCAACAACAAGGATTAGGTTTTTTCCTGGCACTAGAGAATAGATCGTCTCTCCTTCATCCAGTTCTTGTAATTATTAGAGAGAAAACAAACAATAATATAAAAATGTCTCAAAAAGGAACAAAAAAACTTAACTAGTCCTAACCAAGTTATAGTCTATAATGCCGACAACCCTGTGTACCTGTATTATGCACATATAAAGTAAGAAAAAATAAAATCAACTAAACCTGAGAGCATTATACAAGACAATATACAAGTCGGATTTGTGATTAGTCTAACGGACCTTCACTTAAGGTGAAAGTACCACTTATTCAACTTCCCACCCTCTTCCATAACATTTTTGCTGTTTACAGGTACCTTTTTTGACAGATAACCAAGCCCACTTCATCAAACCTCATCTAGCTAAGAATAACCTGGACTTAGGCATGCCTCCTGTCTGCAGCCACCTGACGCACACTACATGTCCCAGCAGGCTGCAGGATCAGTCCCACAGCGCTGCACAATCTTGCAAATCTGCAGTGGGGAGTCGACTGCAATTCCTGAGCAAGTCACAGTCAGCTCCCATATAGCGCCGAGCGAACTGTTGGCGCTTTATAAATACTGTATATAATAATAATAATATAGAGACAATTGCATAAAGACAGTGCTGGAGCCCAGGCACTGGTAAGTACCTTATTTTTCACAAGACTGTAGTTCCTCTTTTAAGAAAAAAAAAAAAAACACATTACTCTGTTGATTAAGAGAAACTATACACTAATGTACAGAAATGCAACTTTGCAGATGGCTTACGTTGCTAGATTAGGGGTAGTGTATCTCTATTATAGAGATTTTCCCTCACTTATTTTCACAGTAACGACTGTTGCCCGAGAGGAAGTGAGGAACAATTGCCTGTACTGCACCGAAGCAGGCAATCAGGTTCAAACCAACACCAGAAAATAACAGATGGATAAAGGTTTGGACTGGATTCTTCAAAGCAAGACAGATCGTTCATATAAAGAAAATGTGTTCAGTGACAAATAAAGCTCACCATTTCTTTTCATTAGGTTCTTACAGAACCGCAGCTCATTGAAACACTGGTTGATCTTGGAGAAGCTGTCAGCTGAACAGTCATCAGGGGCACACTCTGACATCTTTAGTGTCAACAGGAAGCGTTTTTTTTGCTCATCAATGTTTGTTACCTTCGCAACAACCGTCTGCCCTTGCACAAAATGATCACTGATTTCAGTCACAAATTTGTCACTGACGTCCTATTGTAAATAAAAAAGAAAAGAAAAGTCAAGTCTACAGAAATAGGCTGCAGTGCTGGATCCAGCTTTTGTGTTGTTCCTTGGAAATCAGAAGATATTTGATTAGATGCACTTTGATTCAGATTTTATAAAGTAGCATCTCAGAGACCAAATACAGTTTGCACAGGAGGGAACTGCTGTAGTCATGTGCTTCCTGGTCATTCTGTTTGGATCTTTTTTAAATCACATCAGACAAAATGCAGCTTATTATGTTGAGAAAAATGTTATGCATCTGCCAATGCATGCAAAGACTTGCTGCTTGCACAGACTCCCTTGTCTTGACAGTATGTGGAGGCTCACGGTCAGGAAATGACAAGAAAGTGTTTTTGGCTTAGCCATATAGAACACTTTGCCTCAAGGGTGTACTGGTTGGTTTTATAACCATAAAAAAAAAAATGAACATAAATATTCGTTACTTACTGAGATGGGGACCAGTCCAATCAGCCCATGCAAGAATTCCACAAACACTCCATATGACATAACATTTCTAACAAATCCAGTGAGAAACATTCCAACTTGAACTTCAGAGAAATCTTTTACACAAGACCCTCTCTCCACAAATGAAATTAATGCATTTTTTTCTGGTCAATATCTGCAGAGGATGGTGAAGGACTATGTAACAGCAATTTATGATTCATTGTTACAGGAAATTTGTGGCTGTTGAACTACAAGACAAAGACCAATGCAAAAAAGCATCTGACAAGACTCTAGAGAGCATAAAGTAACAATGTAGACTAGTTTACAAAATAAATCTTACCCATGTTCTGCTCTTCCCAATACTTTACTGCAATTCATACCATTACCCACTTCAATACTGGACATTTTCACCCCCTTCCTGCCTAGGCCAATTTTCATCGTTCAGTGCTGTCACCTTGAATGACAACTGCGTGGGTCAAGCAACACTGTACCCATATGAAATTTTTTTGCATTTTCTGAGACAAATAAAACTTTCATTTGGTGGTATTTAATCAACATTGGGTTTTTTATTTTTTGCAATATAAGGGAAAACAAATACTGAAAATTTTGAAAAAAAAAAAAATCTTCCTTCATAAATTTAGGCCAAAACATATTCTGCTACATTTCTTTGGTAAAAATAACCCAAAAGTATATTGTTTAGTCTGTGTGAACGTTAGAGTCTATAAACTAGAACAAATTTCAAGGAGTGGAAACTGCATTTATTTTTCAACATACTCCGCTGCTACATTTATATACTTATCCCAGTGTTCAACTAATTTATTACAGGTACTTATATAGTGCCATCAATTTACGCAGCGGTACACGTACACACACAAATTATTTTCTCTTCGTTGATGAGCAGGATGTTTTAACTGATAAATATATTGTGAACGAAAAAATACGGTTGAACAACAGTGAAAAATTTTGTCATTTCGCATACGAACGACAGATTTTCTATGCGGTGGTATGACGGTCGTACGAAAAAAAAATCTTTCAAGCTCTATCACGCATGAGTGGAAACAGAAGATGACTCGGATGTTTATGTCCAAGGAATCTTCGTAACCACGAACAAAAAATCCAAATGTTATGTTGATGCATATTATATTTTTATGTATCATTATTTATGTATATAGATAATGTAATAAACTATATTATACTCATTGCTGTTAATTGTTGTGTATATCACTCGTTCTGGCCGGAAGGGCATGGCTACAAGGTCACACGCACACTGCATCACTTCCACCTGTACGAAAGACGTCAACACTACGTATTGCCCAACAAACGATTTTTTTAGATTGGTTAATGTGGACTACGATTTCGACCAACGAATGACCGCCTCTCAGTTGTCGGATGACCGTTCGGTCGATTTTCTAATCATGTATTCCCACCTTAACCCTCAAGAAGTGTACAATCCAAGGTCCCTAACTCACATGCATACATACTAGGGCCAGTTTACAGAAGAATCAATTAAACTACCAGCATGTCTTTTGGAACGTGGGAGGAAACGCACGCAGAGGGAGAACATGCAAACTCCAGGCAGGTGGTGCTATGGTTGGGATTTGAACCAACGACCCTATACTGCCAGGCGGAAGTGCTAACCATTTAGCCACTGTGCTGCCTGGAAAGCTTCAGCATAGAAAGATCTGTCAGTAAGCCTGAACCATCTCGGGACAGCCTGATTAAGTTCGTTATCATTGTGTTCACCATTCCCACAGAAAGATTAGTCTCTTGTGCAATTTCCAGACAGGTTATGTGTCGATTATCCAGAATCAGACATTCCACGTGCTGAATGTTCACAGGAATGCCCCACCACAGCCAGGATCATCACTGACAGATGTATGGCCATCTTTGAAACGTTTACACCATTCAGATGTCTTATTGTCGCTTAGCATCCCATCACCATACTGTACTTGAAGTATTCTGTAGATATCCCGGGTTTTACGCCTTCATTCACAAGAAACGTCATCACCACACGCTGTTCTATACACACACTAACACTGTTGTCTGCCATCTTGATTAACAGTTTCTGGACTGGGACGCGACATTTGTGCAGCCTAGAAGTAATAGGACACACTTGCTACTTTCTACTGCGTGTAGTACCGCCACACCAGTATCCCTTTTTTATACCTGTAAAATTAAAATTCACGGTTTGACTTGAACACCCCTCGTATATTTGAAAATTGACCAGTCCTGATGTACTGACTGCCTATCTCATTTTATGATGCCATTTCAAAATGCCAGGACAGTACAAATACCGCCTCCCCATCCCCTCCAAATAAACCCTTTTTGGACCGTCCAAGAGGCATGGTGAATCTTTTAAACTTGTAATCTTTTGTCACAATGTTTTGAAAAATTAAGAAATTAAATAAAATTTGTTTTTATTTCACAAAGTTGTCATTTTAACAAATTATTTATCCCACACAGCATAGACATACTTATAATTACACTCAAAAAACATTCTGTCATGTCTTCTGAGTATGGGGATACCACATGTGTGAGACTTTTTTTTTTTTCTTACAGCCTAGAGGGGTCCAAAATCCAAGAACAACGTTTGGGCTTTCAAGGAGTATAAATTATGTATCTAATGTTCTGACTACCTAGATCACATTTTTGGAGGCCTTAAAGAACCAGGACAGTGGAAACAAATTACCCCATTTTGGAAAGCAAAACACTCCAAAAGGTGTTTTCTGAAGGTCATAGTGAGTATTTTGACGTTTTTGGAAAATGCAGGAAAGAAAAATGAAATTTTTTTTTTTTCAATATAAAAGTTAATTAATAAGATATTTCTAACACACAGCAAAGGTATACTGTGAATTACATCCAAAAACACATTCTGCTACACCTCCCGAGTATGACGATACCACATGTGTGAGACTTTCACAGTCTAGCCACATAGTGGGGCCCAAAAATCCAAGAAGTGCCTTCAGGAGTTCTAGGGGGATAAATTACACACCTAATTTTCTGACTACCTAGCACATTTCTGGAGGCCCTTTAGCACTGGGACAGCAGAAACACCCACAGAATGACTACATTTTGGAAAGCAAAACACTCCAAGGTAGGAGGCATAGTGAGTCTTTTGAAGACTTAAATTTTTTGACACAAGTTTTTGGAAAATGCAGAAAGAAAAAATTAAAATTATTTTTTTTTTTTTTTTTTTACACAAAGTTTTTAATTTAAAAAGATATATCTTACAAACAGCATGGGCATACTTAAAATTACACCACACCCCCGGTGACCAGGGACACTAACTGGCGTGGCAGTGATCAGGAAAACTGTAATTGTGGCTGTGATCAGGGACATAATGACTGGTGTGGCGGTGATCAGGAACATTATGGTTGGTTGGTGTGGTGGTGATCAGGGACACTGAGTGGTGTGGCAGTGATTTGGGACAATGAGTGGTGCGGCGCGATGTCACCATAGTGTAAGTTCCCTTTCACATGGGACGGACTCCGTCTGCTTGCTCACTGAGGGATCTGTCTGCTGTTACCCACTGAGCAGCCGGATGACAGGCCTGTGCGCCTGCTCTCCTCTATGAGCAGTCAGATGTAAATGGACCACCTGTCCGTTTACACCCGACTGCCATCCAATCCAATCCGTCCAGACAGAGGGGAACAGATCCCCATCCTTTTGTTTTAACGAATCGGATTGTATGTAAATGGGCCATAGAAGCGAATAGAGGGTCTGATCAGGTCCGCCTAAAAAAACGGACAGGTGGACCTGATCAGACTACCGATGTGAAAGGGGCATAATCAGGGCAGTGTTACCATAGTAACACTGAACTACTGTAGGGAAGGGATTTTTTTTTTGCATGATGGCTGTTTAAACAATTTCTGACAGTTCTTGGCTGCATTGCTGCAGCCATTGAGAACACTGATCAGCTGAGATTGGCTACAGCCATCACATGGTACTGGGAGGCAGTGCCTGGCCCTGTACCATGTGATGTCATGACCAAACACAAGAGCTCACAGTAGGTCTGAATGGCTGCATCAATGGAAGCCATCTTTACTAATGGACATGTGATCGCTGTGATTAGTCACAGCAATCACATGGTACCATTACAGGGCCCTGCCTCTACGTACAGATATCGGTGATCATGCTGATGCATGCCCCCGGAGGCACAGTTCTGAGGGAAGTACAGGTACGTCCACTCAGAACGAGGAGGCTCCCACTCAGCCATTTACGCACTTTGGCTGGGTGGGAGGTGGTTAAAGACTCCCTCAGCCTCCAAGACTGCTTTTTCCTAGATCTACTCCCTTACCTATCTTGATGCACCCTCAATCACCTACAACTCAATATTCTCTCTTCTTCCTCTTTCCGTAAGGTCTCCAGTCCCCCAAAGCTCTGTCCACAGGTCCTTCTATTCTCAATATTCATCTCCTCCCTGGGTCAGCTGATAACCCCCCAGAATTTCCAAAACCATCTCTTTGCGGATGACACCCATATACTCCCCTGCTCACTCCTTTATACTCAAGAATCACTAACTGGCATATCCTATTGTAAGTCACACCACTTCCTCAAACTCAATATTTACAAAATGTAGTTCATAATAATAATCACCCCCTTCCCCCTTCGTGTCCCCTCCCCCAGTGGGATCAACAGAACTGCAATCAATCATCCCCACCAGGCCAGGCTACCAGGTGTAATCCTGGACTCTAACCTCTTTTGGCCCCACATACAATCACTGTTCAAATCCTGCCGCCTTTGCTTCTGTAACATAAAATTTGCCCCATATTAACAAATGACATTGCAAAGATTCTAAATCACTTCTTTGTTACTTCTTTGTTATCTCTCACCTCTACTACTGCAACTCCCTCATTATTGACCTACCTCGACAAAGGCTACCACCCCCCCCCCCCCCCATGTCCACCATGAAAGATGCTGCCAAACGTATTCAGCATAACAGCTCAGTGGCCAAACCCCTCCCCTGGTGTCTGCTCACCCAACACATAAAATTCAAAATTGTACACACACATACTACACAACATACAAGACCATCTATAACTCTGCCCCGAGATACATCAGGTATTCAATCCTCTGAAGACCTTCATGCTCTCTAGCCTCGTCACCTGTTCCCTTGCTTGTGTTCAGGACATCTATAGAGACTCCTTCCTCAGGAATTCACTACCCCAATCTGTCTGGCTATCTCCTACTGTGTCTGCCTTCAGGTGATTCTTGGAAACCTCTTTAGAGAAGTATCTCTCGCCTCTAACAATTGGAATTTTACTTTCACCATCCTCTCATCATTGTGTCTCTTTTCGGGAGACTTCACCTCATATTCTGTGCTTCTGACAGGATCCTCCTTCAATGGGAAAGGAAAGCAACATAAGTAGGTTTACTGAGTACACTTGAGAAAGAATAGAACCCCGAGTCAGATATTTATTGTGCATGCATCCCCCTATCCTAGTAACACCTATAACTTCTAATTCTTATCCTGGCATCATAGGGTCGCAAAATAAAGGTAAAGCTCTCCAATGGGGTCACATACAGAGAATTTAATGCTTCACTGCTTTATCCAAAAATACATAATTAACTGGCTAAAGTTGGGCTTTATGGGATTACAGCCAAGACAGCTTTATGATGTTATCAAATATTTATTGCTGAACACTGCAAAGCAGGTAAACCAAACCATCACTAGGGGAAAATCTACCTTGCCATCACCCCTATACCCGCAAAAAAAAAAAAAAAAAGTTTCAATAAAAAGGATACAGTTTGCCCTTTGGTGGTGTTCAGACACATCACTTGAGACAGCTCATCACCCTCTTTTAAACAGTGGAAGAGGAGCTCACAGTTTGTCACATGATCAGACAAATGAACTTTGGGAAGTACTGCAGGGCTCTCCTCAGGAAGAATGAATACATTTAGCTCTGTATCAGTCTTGCTTGCAATTCTTACATCCACTATCTAGTAGAAAAAAGAAAAATATTGCATAACATTTTCCAACACACATGTAAAAGCAATTAGGTCTACACAGGTCACCTGCTGAAATCACTGAGACAGAGAAGTTAAACATGCAGAAAACAGGTCTTCCATAAACGTGCAGTGCTAATCAGACAAAAAACTCATTTAAAGTACATCTATGGTTAAAAAAAAAAATCAAGGTGATGCTAAAGGCAATTTTTTTAAAAATTAAAAAAACATGTTATACTTGTCTGCTCTGTGGTTTTACACAGAGCGGCCCTCAACCTCTTCTTCTGGGATCCCCACTCGCAATCTTGGTCACTCCTCTTCTCTATGCGAACACAGTGCGTGCTCGCTCCTGAGCCGTGTGTGTCTGTCTGTCTTTGGAGCCACACTCCATAGACACAGGCAGCGCGGCTTGGCCAACCAACCCCCGCTTCCTCCTCACAGTATTTAACTGGCAGCTGCTTCCCAAGTCCCTATATGAAGAGCAAGTGGAGAGAGAAGAGATGCAGCTGTGCACAGCACTGGATCAATTGAGGTAAGTATTTAGGGAGGTTGGGGAGGACAGAAAGCTGTAAAACTATTTTTACCTTAATGCAGGGAATGCATTAAAATGAATCTAAAGCTTTTTTTTTTTTTAAATAACAAACATGTTATACTTACTTGCTCTGTGCAATGGTCTTGCACAGAGCAGCCCCTATTCTCTTATCAGGTCCCCCACTGACACTCCTGGCCCCTCCCCTCCGCCTAGTGTCCACCATAGCAAGCCGCTTGCTATGGGGCACTCGGGGCTCTCGCTCCCAAATCGCCTCTGTGTCATATGGGCCCCGTCCAGCTCCCTCTTCACTGGCTGTGATTGACAGCAGTAGGAGCCAATGAGAAAAGAAAGATCAGAGACTCAGATTTGGATTAGGCTCAGGTGAGTATAAGGGGGTGCTGGGGAATGCTGCACTCAGGTTTTTTTACCATGATGCATAGAATGTATGAAGGTATAAAAAAAACTTCTGCCTATACAACCACTTTAAGGTAAAAAAAAAAACGCTTTAAAATCATGTATGTATTAGGAAACTGAATTTGCATGTGTTGCAGACAGTCATTACAAAAACCAATTTGAAAACCATACTTAAAGTGATTCTAAAGGCTTACATTAAAAAAAAAAAAAAAAAACTAACAACAACAAAACATGTCTATACTTACCCACTGGGTGAACAAAGCAGCCTGGATCCAGGATAGAAAGTATAAAACGCCTTGAAAAAGTATTCGTACCTCTTGAAATTTTCCACATTTTGTCATGTTACAACCAAAAATGTAAACTTACTTCATTGGGATTTTATGTGTTAGAGCAACACAAAGTGGCACATAATTGTGAAGTGGAAGGAAATTGATAAATGGTTTTCAAAATTGTTTTACAAATCAATATCTGAAAAGTGTGGCTTGCCATTTGTAGTCAGCCCCCCTGGGTCAATACTTTGTAGAACCACCTTTCGCTGCAATTACAGCTGCAAGTAATTTTGAGTATGTCTCTACCAGCTTTGCACATCTAGAGAGTGACATTTTTGCCCATTCTTTTTAGCAAGTTTTAAGCCTTGCCACAGATTCTCAATTGGATCTAGGTCTGGACTTTGACTGGGCCTTTCTAACACATGGATATGCTTTGATCTAATACATTCCATTGTAGCTCTGGCTGTATGTTTAGGGTTGTTGTCCTGCTGGAAGGTGAACCTCCGCCCCAGTCTCAAGTCTTTTGCAGACTCCAACAGGTTTTCTTCTATGATTGCCCTGTATTTGGCTCCATCCATCTTCCCATCAACTCTGACCAGCTTCCCTGTTCCTGCTAAAGAAAAGCATCTCCACAACATGATGCTGCCACCATCATGTTTCACGGTGGGGATGGTGTGTTCAGGGTGACGTGCAGTGTGTGAGTTTTTCGCCACACATAGCATTTTGCTTTTAGGCCAAAAAAATCAATTTTGGTCTCATCTGACCAGAGCACCTTCTTCCACATGTTCGGAGAGTCACCCACATGGCTTTTCACAAACTGAAAATGGGACTTATGGCTTCCTTTCAACAATGGCTTTTTTCTTGCCACTCTTCCATAAAGACCAGATTTGTGGAGTGTGTGACTAATAGTTGTCCTGTGGACAGATTCTCATACCTGAGCTGTGGATCTCTGCAGCTCCTTCAGAGTTACCATGGGCCTCTTAGCTGCTTCTCTGATTAAAGCTCTCCTTGCTCGGCCTGTTAGTTTAGATGGATGGACATGCCTTGGTAGGTTTGCAGTTGTGCCATACTCTTTCCATTTTCAGATGATGGATTGAACAGTGCTCTGTGAGATGCTCAAAGCTTGGAATATTTTTTATATTTTTTTTTTTAATAACCTAACCCTGCTTTAAAGTTCTCCATAACTTTATCGCTGACCTGTCTGGTGTGTTCCTTGGCCTTCATCATGCGGTTTGTTCACTAATGTTTTCTAACAAACCTTTGAGAACTTAACAGAACAGATGTATTTATACTGAGATTAAATTACACACAGGTGGACTCTATTTACAAATTAGGTGACTTCTGAAAGTAATTGGTTCCACTAGATTTTAGTTATGGGTATTAGAGTAAAAGGGAGCTGAATACAAATGCTCGCTACTCTTTTCAAATATTTATTTGTAAAAAAAAATTAAAAACCATTTATAATTTTCCTTCCACTTTACAATTATGTGCCACTTTTTGTTGATCTATCACATAAAATCCCAATAAAAATCAAGGCACTGTACAGTGGTGTCACCCACATCACACTGCTTGTATCTGTTACTACATATAATGTCCAATTGCATCTAGACATTGAGCAGTGATATTATCCTTAACCCTGGCCTTTAGGACAGCCAACCTATGCCAATATAAGGAAAATTCAGCCTCAGAGTTAAAAAAAAAAAAAAAAAAAAAAAAGCAGGAAACAGGAAAAGCCCCCTGCTGTGACATCAATGATGCACTGCACACTGGCAAGTGTAATTTTCAGTGTACATGCATTCATTAAAATACGCCAAAATGTCATTTTTATATTTGCTACTGAGTAGATTTCAAAACTGTAAGGTAAAAACAACTTACTGTATGTTTCCTTTAACTAAGCAACAGCAACCATTTTTTTCAGCAATAATATCAAATAAGAGCTGAAAACAGCCACCTGGCTAAAGACAATTTATGGAATATACAGGTTCTAGCTTTGTGAAGTAAGCCTAGGGACTATTTTAATATCAACCATATCCCATTGCTGCTCAGCAAAAAAGATCTACATTATAAGCTACCCTACAACCTAACTTTGTCTAGAAAAGTGTTCTCAGATCCTTAAACAGTATGTAAACCCAACATATCATATTACTGATATGTGCCTGTTGTACCATGTACTGGTGTAAAAAGTATCCTGTTCCCTTTGCATTGCTTCTTTTGTGCGAAAACCCTAGTGTTTCTGCCAGTCCCTCTGCTTTTCTATTAAAAAAACAAAACAAAAAACAAAACAAAAAAACACAACTAGACACGAGAGCAAAACGTTATCAGTTCTCTAGCTATTCTGGGAACTCCACCTGCTCTCCTCCAGTGATCACAGTTCTGCTCATATGCCCCCAGCCATTTACTGTGAAGTTCAGTATGCTGCGGTATCCCCTCCCCCAGCTCTCTTATCAGATGCATAAGGAGCTTAGATGTGATCACTTCTAAAGCAAGGTGAAAAAAAAAAAAATTAAGGTATTTATGTTTTTTATATGTATACACAATGTTTTGCCTTTCGTTTCCATTTTAAACTGAATGGGTTGTTTTACAAGGTGAGGGTTTACATATACTTTCATTATCACGGGTCATGAAAAGGATAGTCATGAGTGAAGAAGCTGCAGAATGTAGGCAACAAAACTCATTAGCAACTTATCTAGCATACCTTTCCAGGTTCCTGCAAGTGTGAATGTGTTCTCCTTCCACTATTCTGTTCCTGTTCTCCATTGCCGGTTTCTTCAATAATCTTGAAGGACAGCAGCAATGTCTTATTTTCAGGGTTACACTCCAGCACCCTTACCTTGATCACCTACATGAATGATAACAGATATTTAAAAACTTGACCATTTCGTTACACCCTACTCACATTGCACTGTGAAAAAGTTAAGCAAATAAAAAAATGACAATATAAAAGGCTGACATTTGTGCATCTCTGATAGGGGTTTAATAAGCTTAATATCTCAACAGTGTTGGATGACAACACATGAGTGTGAGTTCCATCAATAATATCAGCATCTGTCTCAAAAACCTACTGCCAAATATGTCTGTAGTCTGCATTTGTTATAGCAGAAATCAAAATCATTTATCACATTACCTTTAACATATTAAAAAAAAATGCTATTTCAACAAATCTGATACCTCTTTACTAGGGGATATGATAATGAAGATGAAGATGCTGCAAACATACCATCATTAACAGTGGATATGGATTCTATGGTGACAAAAATCCATAATGTTATCTTACCTGTCCCTTATAAAAGGCCTCTTGAATTATTGGGATATAATGCGAGCTTAACTCTCGAGCTGGTGCAAGTCCATGGACTTCATTATAGAATTTAACAATGCATCCAAAATCTTTCACCGCCCAGATAAAGCCATGAGTGATCATGCCGGGTTTTGCATCATGGAAACTGGCAATTATTGGCAATTTTGAATTGATCATGGTTTTCTTTCGGGTAAGAATCAGCTTTTTGGCTGATGGATTCACATTTAGAACCTAAAATTGTAATTAAAAAAATAAAATAAAATGTTTAAAGAAACATGTATGTAGTACATTTTGGCAGTGTCAATTCCATTACGTAGAAAAGTGGTTGTCAACTTATTAGGTATAGAAGACCTTATCTGCGGCCCCTGACATTGCCAACAGGCCAAACATGTGTAAAGGTGTAGTAATAGACTAGAGACATGCTGTGGACGATTGTCAGAGATTACAAACACATTGCAAGAGACTACCAAAGATCACTACCATCATAGCCCATTTACAAAATAAACACTGCCAAATAACGGAATTCAACGGCAACAGCGCAAGTAGGGCTACAGGTTGGGCACCAGGGATGTCTAACAATACACAAATTGCCTGAAAGCCAATGATCTACTGCAGGATGCAAGTGACAAAAAAAGTGCAGGATTTTAAAATAACAAACAAACATAGCCTATGTGGATGCTGCTTCAATCCAATGCTGCATTTGTACCTGGCCACCTCTAAGGCTCCATGTACATGAGCCTACCCTGACTGCCGGCAGCGGGAAAACACGGTAACCGCGGTTTTTGCGTTTTCTCACAGCGATTCTTCAGTGTTCAGGAGAGGGACGTTTAGTCTCACCTAAACACGGAAGCTCCTAAACTCTGCTAAAAGTCTATGTGTACATGGACACATAGGCTTTTATGGAATTAAGTTTAGGATCTTTGGAAAAAAAAAATGCCAAAAGCTCCTAAACTAGAGTTTACATGAAGCCTAAAACCAAGAACTGAGCAATCACATAACCACTGATCGTTCAGTTCTCAATCTTCACTGAGCAGAGAGCAATGACGGGCCACCGGGTCTCTGTTCTGTCAACCTTCTTAACCTCCCTGGCGGTATTCCCGAGTGTAGCTCGGGGTAAAGTTTCAGTACCAAAAGCGGTAACCCCGAGCTACACTCAGGGTTACCATGCGGTGTTGCTCAGTGATTCCCTGCCGCGCGCTTACCTTGTCCTTCGCTCCTGCGATGTGTCCCCGGCCATCTCCTTCGGCCGATGCCGGCATCCGGCTTCCGTGTCCGGTCCCTGCGAGCATCGGGACGTACGGGGGCCGGAACCGGCGGCAAATTTAAAATTTTTTTTAGAAACTGTCATTTTCTTATAAATGAATTTGACATAGTAAAACATTACTGTATCAAACCATTTCACATACATTTTGTCCCTAGTGCTTTGTCCTGTGCCCTGCCTTTTGACTGTTCTTTCTGCCTGGAAACTTAAAAAAGCCCATGGCGTCCAAAAAGCGTCCCTTTTGGTCAAAAGCGGTTTTAGACCGGCTAGAGAACAGCGATAGTAAATCAGAACCACTTGCAGAATTGAGTGATAATGATTCGTGGGGAAATTCGTCATCAGACACTGAAAACGATTTTGCGACTTTGCTCAGCGATGTGTGAACTTGGCGCTATATTTCAAATTTCAGTGTTTTTGGTTTGATTATATTATTGAATTAAAATATTATTTATTAAATTATCATACCGCTAGGGAGGTTAAGGGTGCATTGCTACAGCTGTAGGTTCTGGGACCCACTGTAAATTTGACTACTGAGGTCTTAGTCCTTATGCAAGGGACACTCGCATTTGCCACAATGATCAAAGCAACAGCTTGTTACATTTATAACTGATATACAGTGTAACAGGTTCTTTACAATGCAATTAGCTGCAAGTATTACGAGAATCTAATCCCAGTGTAATCCTTTTGCTACACAGCAACAGTAGCAATCACTCCCAAAAATGTATTTTTTTGCTATTTAACACCAAATTAACCCTGACTAGTCCCAATAACCACATTCTGTCTTGCCTCTCGGGACTTACGTGTTTTCCTTCCCTGTGTGGTTTTAAAAACAGCACCCAGGGCTTTAATTTTTCCATAAATAGTAATGAAAAGAGAAATTTCCTTACTCTGCATTTAATTTTTTTCCCAGGAGTGTATCTCTTCTCAGGATGGTTCAAGGTGACATCTGCCATGTGGAGATTTGGTATGAGACCACTGATGCGTTTGGTGATATTCACGGTTATTCCTTCAGTTTCAATCTTGTTAACAGTTCCCTGTACAATAATAAATGCATTGTTCATCAAGCTGTATGCAAGTATATACTAAGGCATTTTGTGTGGACTGATTAACCAGCACTACAGTACAGATAGAGGGTTTCTTCAGTAGCTGCTACCTCAGGGAAGCAGACTGAGTAAAAGCAACAAGATTTATCAATAATAAAATACACAGCGGTAACAAAATAGGCTTATGCAATAATTTGATTTTTCAAGTCTTAAAGTGGATCTATGGTGAAAAAAAGTAGAATGGTATCGTTTTCCACATTGTATATCAATTATTTCAAACCTACTTCTATTAATCTGAACAAATTTTAAAGTTTGTAATCTTACTTTTTGAAGAATTCCACACATTTCCTTCCTTGAATTATGTGACACATATTCACTATGCCCTGTGAGTAAGCACTGCAGTGTCGCACGCTTTACAGAGCCTGCCTTCTGAACTACTAGTGCTGAGAAGAAGAGTTTCAGAAGGCAGTACAGGAATCACTGGTTGTAGGCAGTAAGGTACCATGGGATATGTAGCCCTTAGAAATCAAAAGTAAACCAAAAAATGAACAGAGACGTAGCTGCCAAGCATGCAGGCAATCCAGGAAGTTTTGATGGCCAGCACAGGCAGCACTCAACACGAAAGGAGATTTTTCAAGTATGCTTATAATGGATTGTAAAAAAAATAACCTTATTTGTATTGCTATTACGATTATGTTATTTAAAAAAAAAAAAGAAAAAAAAAAAAAAAGTGTATATTGTGACTAGATCATTTTACCTATACAGGACAAAAGGTCTCTCAACGTTTGAGACTATTAAATAAGAGGGGCTGGAAAAAAGACCTGGTCTGTCAAATACAGTCTTAAAGATGACTGGAAGCTATTCCCAAAAAAAAAAAACAAGAAGAGAGCAAAAGGTCTAGTTACCAGTATTACCTAGAGGCTAGCTGAAGCTCATCTTTCCCCTTCATAGATTTCTCTGCACTGTGTGTATGGAGAACTGGTTAGGGGACAGATGCAGCATCAGACTGATGCTGCATCCACCTAGGTAAGTATAACTGGGGGAAAAAGAAGAAACCCCCACTTCTCAACTGATTCAGGCTACTGAAATTTCTTTAATACAAGATTAAGTTTGATTTAGGTTTTTTAGCTACCCACAAAGGAAATTTACTTAGTGAGTACATACATATAAAACCCAAATTTGCCCTGTGTCCACAAACCCAATGATCCCCAATGCAGAAATAAAACAACCCCCTAGCGCTTAGAACATACAGTTTCCAAACAAAAATACATTTTAACATCATGTTGTCATTTTCTAGATGGCACTGGTAATTCCCATCACAATTTTTTTTTTTGATGTGCAGGGTTCCTCTTCAGAGTTAATACTATTAAGGAGAACAATATGAAGCAATCAACTATTTGAAATTTGTTTCCTTGGTAGTGTAGAAGATCTATCGTTAAAATAAAATAAATACACTATAGGGTTCAAAGTAAGGGACCATAAGTACTTTCTTCACCTCTAGAAGTAGTCCAGCATGTATATCCTCATGCTTCCAAAAAGGTTCTTCAATGACTGTCCTAAAAATAAAAGAAAATGAAGAAAGTAAAGATAAGAAGTAGAGTTCTACTCCAGAAAACAGTCCTTCTGGAATCAATGAACGACTAACTGCTGGATAACAGTTGTGTATTAAATCACTTGGAGACTTATTGAGCAAGGGCACTGCACCCTTAATCAGAGGCACTTCAGTTTACCAGAGTCATCACAAGGGAACCTTTCTACTCTACTTGTATTTTATTACTCTGCACACACTGACAATCTGGCAGGCAGATTTAACTTGGGGATTACTTAAGAAATGCATGCATCATACGGATGATTCAGCACAATCACCTGTAGCTGAAGAGGAACCACCCTAAGGAAAATAGAATGCTATGGAGGTCCAGTGGCTTCAATAGTTCAAGTTCCTAAAGCTGCAGATCAATTTAACAGCCAGGGATCTAGCATTATCCGAAGAGTCACCAATGGCAGCCTCTGTATTTCTTATGACATAAATTGAAAAATGTGAACCAACTTACTCCTTGAAAGAAAGTAGAATTGTTTCATCCATGGGGCTAAACCCCACCACTCGTCCAGTGTGGACAGTCTCTTCTTTAAAGCTATTCAGATCACTTGACTTGTTGGAAAGTAGATGGTATTTCTGCAAAAAAAAAAAAAAAAAAAAAAAAAAACACACACACCTGTTTACTTGATAAAGTACATTCTTTGCCCTAAAGCCCAACTCCAGCCAAAGCAATTTATATTGTTTTGGATGGTGCAGGGAATATCTCTCAGATATTTGTTGCCCTTTATGCCCCAACTAGGGAGAATTCCCCTCACTTTTGGAAAGAACAGGAAATAATATGGAATATCATCAATGAGATTACAAAGAATGAGGAAGAACTAGAAATTCTGACAGGGTTGTAAGTGCTGGAAAAAAAAAGGGAAAAGAGGGTGCACCAGCCTCGTGTATTACCTAGGATGATAGCTTTATTAAATCCAAAGTTAAAATATACTCACAAACACTGTGGGTGACAAAAACGTATCAAATACAAAGCAACCAATACACAGGATCAGCTCCCAAACTCATGAGGACCCACTTGTGGCGGACGCATCTTGAGGAGCAGTCTCCTCTTTCTCAGAGCTACTGTTCCTCAAAACACGTCAGCCACAAGAGGGTCCTCACAAGTTTGTGAGCTGATCATGTGTATTGGTTGCTTTGTATTTGATATGTCTGTTACCACAGTGTTTGTGAGTACATTTTAACTTTGGATTTAACCACTTCAATACCGGGGACTTTTACCCCCTTCCTGCCCAGGCCATTTTTCAGGTTTCAGCGCTCTCACACTTTGAATGACAATTGCACGGTCATGCAACACTGTACCCAAACTAAAAGTTATAATTTTCTTCACACAACTAGAGCTTTCCTTTGTGGTATTTAATCACTACTGGGGTTTTTATTTTTTGCTAAATTAACAAAAAAAGACCGAAAATGTTTAAAAAAACCAAACCCATTTTAGTTTTTGTTTCAGTTATAAAAGTTTGCAAATAAATAATTGTTCTTCATAAATTTAGGCCAAGATGTATTCTGGCACATTTATTTGGTTTAAATAACCCAAATAAGTATTTATTATTTAGTTTGTAGGAAAGTTATAGAGTTCACAAACTATGAGATATATCTGAAAATTGATCAATCCTGAAGTACTGACAGCCAATCTAATTTCTTGAGGCCCAAAATTGTCAGAACAGTACAGATATCTCCCAAATGACCCCTTTTTGCAAAGTAGACAGTCCGACGTATTTCATAAGAGGCATGGCAAACTTTTTGAAGTTGTAATTTTTTTTTTCATAATTTTTCTGAAAATGAACTAATTAAAAAAATTATTTTCACAGTTTTTTTTTTTCTTACATACCGTCACCAGTACAGTATAGCGTCAGCATATAACTGGTGTGGCGGTGATCAGGGATACTGACTGGTGACAGTACGAAAAAAAAAAAAGATTTTTTTTAAATTTTATTAAATTTGTTCTCTTTTTTAAAAGATTAATTTTTTCATATTGCATATTTCATATTACCAAAGTAGTATAATGTTACCATAGTAACATTGTACTACTTTGGGGAAGTGATCTGTTTTTTTTTTTTAAACACAATTTGATTGCTTATAGCAAAGAATTTCTTTGCCATAAGCAAGCATTTAACTGAATGAAAAATGATTCATTCAGGTTTTTTGTTGCAATTAGCTGTGATTGGCCACGGCTAATCACATGACACAGATGGGCTGTGATTGGCCCAGCCTGTGCATGTGATCGCTGTGACCATTCACAGCTAGACACAGTTGTATACAATGGATGGAATGAAAGGAAGCCATCCAATGTATACAACTATCATGTGACCTGCTGTGATTGTCCACAGCAGGTCACATGGTACTGGCAACGGGGCCGGTACACAGATCTGTCATCAGCCGTGTCCGAGGTACAAAGCCGGTGACAGATCTTCACCACAGAGCGGCCCTGCGGGCACACGCAAAGAGCGATCCGGAAAGGACATCATATGACGCCCTGCCGGAGAGACGAATTGTTCGCCTGGCCGTCATTTCACCATAGACCAGGCGGCAAGTGGTTAATAAAGCCATCATCAGGGATAATGCACAAGGCTGGTGTGTCCTCTTTTCCCTTGTTCTTACAGCTATTGTCTGCGGGTTCCTCCCCCAACTCGTAGAGGGCAGAAAGGCCTGTGTTGGTACTGGACACATGAAGGACCTGATACAGTTCCATCCTAGTATACTAACTCTTGAGCGCAGGAGATTACATATATTTTTGCTTTTACAAGATTTTAAGTGCTGTCTGTGCTTTCCTGTCCCAAGTACAACTGACCAACCCTCCCCTTCCCCAACCCATTTTACGTTGCAGGACTGCATCACAACTGCAAGCCAAGCGTTTGGCTCATGGTTGTGGTGCACCCTCACTGAAAAATGCTGTGCCGTAAGGCAAAGGAACATTAGTCAACAGACTGCAGGTGGAAACTGATTAAAGCACATTTAAAAAGCCCATCATATGCTAACCTGAACTTCCAGAGAGTCTCTTTATCAGGTGTAATATTTTTTTCTGATATATGATACTACACAAGGATTATTTATGCAAGAGAATTAAACTTCCCTTTATTGCAAAATAAAAACAAAATGGTTTCCACTGTTTTCTTTCCATAAAACTCACAAGTGCAAAAGCTGTTGTTTCCCCATCCAGCTCAAATATTGCTCCAGCATTTTTATACAGTGCCTTCACCGTACACTTCTCATGAATTGTGCCAATCCAGTTACTGGACAGTTGTTTCATCAGCTTCCCAGGTTGCAGGAAGGTCTTGCGTAATGTCAGTCGTATGGTCTTGGAAGATTTATCAATCCACAGGATGCAAGCTTTAACCTAGATAAGATGAATAGATAAATTATAGTTTAATGGTTACCTGGTTCCTGCCTATTACAAAGTGTGCCATGCATGTTGAGATGAAGGTACAGGTTTAAGTCAGGTTTCCTTTTTCCACATATGATCCACATGTATGCTGCATCAGAATAGGCTAATGCACTGCCACAACTTGTTTCAGAAAGAGAAAGGGCTGGGGGTATACAGAATAACTGTTCAAACAGTCTGCACAAATGGGTAACTCAGCTGCTTGCAAAGAGCCAATATATGTTAATTTCCATTAAACAGTATGAAGATGCGGCGCCAAGGTAAAAAAAAAAAAAAAGTCTAATCAAAAAAACATGTGCTAGTGATCATACTACTAGTAAATACAATAAATATGATTAATCAAATGCTCCAAGTAAAGCCCATAGGTAAATGAGAAATATGAATGAATCAATAAAACCACCAAACGATATAGAGTTCATATCAAAACACACACACACTATATATAAATAAAAAAAAGGTTAATGAAATTAATAAAGTGCAACGTGTCTTCCACAAAGTTGAAAAGTGAATGTGCAAGGTAACATCCACAAACAATGGGTCTGCATATCACTGAAATGAAGCACCCTAAGTGTATGCTTACCAGATAGTACTTTCCTCAGGCTGCTGGGTGCTTCAGTTCTGTGATATGCAGATCCATTACTTATGGATTTCACGGTGCACATTCACTTTGCAACTTTCAGGTAGACAACTGGAACTTTATTAATTTATGAACTTTATTTTGATATGTACACTATATTTATGGCATGGTGGTTTTATTAATTTATCCATATTTATCATTTACCTATGAACTTTTATGGGACATCTGATTAATTATATTGGTTGCATGTAGAGTAGTATGAAGAGCATGAACCATATGTTTAATATAGATTTTTTTACCTTGGCCTACAAAATTATTACAGTTTGTAGAAGAAGGACGGAAGCTTTTCTGCACCATGTGTTTGAAATGACATCTATTTTCATGCCATGCAACACTTCCTTCATGTCCTCACAGCAATACTCTACAAAACTCACTGGATACTCACCAACTGATCTATTTGGTACAAGTTTGCTTTTTTAGATTCTAGATGCAAGAAATCCACTATTCCAGTGTAGGAAGACAAGAAGGATATAGTGATGTGGTCATAACAGATCTGTAACCAGAAGGGACAATTGTTACCTTCACTGCAGAGACACAAACTGTCATCTGTGACAAAGTATAAAGCATTTGTGAGTCATACCTTTTGAATATGAGCTTTTACCACTAAGCCTGGCACCAGGTTATTCATAGTCCACTTCTGTTCATCTGTGGCAATGGCTGCAGCCACATCAGACCGGCTGACTGACAGACGCAAGATTCTTCCATCATTTTTCACCTCTTCAATCACACAGTCCAGATATTGCCCCACTCTCAACCCAATTCCTGTAAGCATAAAGAAAAAAAAAAAAGGAACAACTCAATAAAGAATATATATTTATACTTTTTTTCTTCATTTGAGATTGCTTGGGGTTACAGCATTGTTATAGGTGTGCACTTCATTCCTTTACAAATCATTCACTGGGTTCACAAGGCTCAATTCACCAGGCTAGAACCATCAGTCTTGGCCATAACAATGTTTTCAAAAACTATAAGCAATGAGAGCTAAAAAAAAGTGTGTTAGAACATGTACAATATTTGTTAGAGTTTAGTGAGTCAAGCTTATAATCTTCTACACAATAGCAGGCAATTATATATAAACCCAATTTTAAGTGGGACTGTAGTCCTATTACATCTTGATAAATTACTTCATGCTGGCCCCTTTTGCTGGTGTAAAACATTAAAAATAAGTGCCTATACTGTTTAAAATCCAGAAAGGCACTGTATCATCCTGCAACCCCACCCTGAGAAAAACTAGTGGTGCTACTTGAAGTTCCTATGTATACCAGTCCAGTGACTCATGCTGAGGGTGCAGAGCGGGGAGAGCCCATCCTGGCTCAATGAATGGAGTATAAAGGAAGGACACAACCCAAAGCGCTGCACACCATCAGTACCCTACAGTCAGTATAGTAGCAGCAGCCTCAGCCTGGCTCTGTCCAGGCCACGCCCCTGATGCTTTTCACCCTGCCCAAGGGGTTTAGTCATGGAGGTCCCAAGACCATGTACCATAGGCAAACCAAAACTAATTGGAGGGGTAGCCTGGACAAAGCCAGGCTGAGGCTGCTTCTACTATAGTATAATGCATGTTCTTTTGGTAAAGAACTGCCTAACTTTCTGTCCACTCAAAAGGGAAGTTGTAGAAATTTAGGACCAATCTTGTAGGCACGTGTTGTGAAAAAGTATTTGCCCCATTCCTGATTTTTTTTCTATATTTTCACACTTAAATGATTCAGATCAAACAAAATTTTATTACACAAAAGATAACTTGAGTAAAATACAAAATGCAGTTATTAAAAAGGATTATCTCATTTATTAAGGGGAAAAAAAAAAAAAAAAAAAAAAGCTGTCCATACCCGCCTGGCCAATCAAGTGTTTGCGATAACTGGCAATGAGTCTTGCACATTGCTTTGGAGGAATTTTGGCCCATTCTTCCTTCCAGAATTGTTTTACTTCAGCCACACTGGAGGGTTTTCAAGCATGAATGGCCTGTTTAAGGTCATGCCGCAGCATCTCAATTGGATTTAATTCTGAACTTTGCCTAGGGCACTTCAAAATCTTAATTTTTTTTTTTTGAGCCATTCAGAGGTGGACTTGTTAGTGTGTTTCAGATCATTGTCCTGCTGCATAACCCAAGTGTGCTTGAGTTTGAGGTAACAAACTGATTGCTGGACATTCTCCTTCAGGATTTCCTGGTAGGGCGCAGCCTTCACAGTTCCATCAATTATGGCTAGTCACTCAGGTCTTGAAGCTTCAAAGCAGCCCCAGACCATCACACTGCCTCCACGTTTGACTGTTGGTATGACATTCTTTTTATGAAATGTGTTCGTTTTACACCAGATGTAACGTGACACACACATTTAAAAAATTTTGGTAGGCTGGACACTCCTGGGAAGGTTCATCAATGTTCCAAACTTTCTCTATTTGTGGATAATGGCTCTCACTGTGGTTTGCTGGAGTCCCATAGGCTTAGAAATTGCTATGTAAACCCATTCCAACCTGATACGCATTACTTTATTTCTCATCTGTTCTTGAATTCCTTTAGATCATGGCATGATGTGTTGCTTTTTTTTTAGATGTTTTAGCATGCTTCACATTGTCAGACAGCTTTTATTTAAGCGATTTCTTGATTCAACAAGTCTGGCAGTAATCAGGCATGGGTGTGGCAAGTGAAATTTAACTCAGCTTTCCAAAAAATGTGGTTAATCGCAAAACTATATGAATAACTTTTTTTTTTTTTCATTTTGGATAGAGCAAGGGGTGGTTATAAACCCTGGCAAATTTTTTTTCACCATCTGTGTCCCATTGCACAGATTTCCCTTCACTTCCTGTCCCATAGCCAACCAGGAAGTGAGAGGAAATACAAGCAAATTAAGGGAATTCCTTGGGGACCCCCAGGTCACCAAAAACTAGTGTCCCCGTTGGAAGATTCCCATCTATTACCGTATTTGTCGCTCCATAAGACGCACCTAGGTTTTAGAGGCAGAAAACAGGAAAAAGAAAAAAATTCTGAACTAATGGACTGCAGACATAGTACAGGGATGACCAGAGACTGCGGACAGCACAGGGATGACCAGAGACTGCGGACAGCACAGGGATGACCAGAGACTGCGGACAGCACAGGGATGACCAGAGACTGCGGACAGCACAGGGATGACCAGAGACTGCGGACAGCACAGGGATGACCAGAGACTGCGGACAGCACAGGGATGACCAGAGACTGCGGACAGCACAGGGATGACCAGAGACTGCGGACAGCACAGGGATGACCAGAGAGCACAGGGATGACCAGAGACTGCGGACAGCACAGGGATGACCAGAGACTGCGGACAGCACAGGGATGACCAGAGACTGCGCGGACAGCACAGGGATGACCAGAGACTGCGGACAGTACAGATGACTGCTGACCTTTGGGGAGGTGGGGAGCGGGTACCTGAATTTGACAGGTACCCGCTCTTACTTCCACAGAGTTTTTGTTTGATCTTACCTGTTCCTCGATCCAGCCGCGTGCTGTCTTCCCGGCTTCTGTAATGGCGCTCGGCATGACAGCCGGGTGCCCAGTGCGCATGAGCGAGAAGCACTTGCGCTTTGAGATTGGTCCGGCAGCTTCTGGGATCGGTCATGTGTCCCAGGTACCGCCTTACCATTCACAAAAAGCACCGCTTCTTGCGCATGCGCACTTGGCACCCGGCTGTCATGCCCAGTGCCTGCACTACACAAGCCGGGAAGACAGCGCGCCGCTGGATAGAGGAACAGGTAAGATCAAAGAACAAAGAAGTAAGAGCGGGTACCTGTCCAATTCAGGTACACGCTCCCCACCTCCCCAAAGGTCAGCAGTCCTCTCCATAAGGTCCGTTGCAGAGCTGAGCGGCCGGCCCGGTATTCTGCACGGCGGCAGTGGAAATACCGGACCGGCCGCTCTATATTCGCTCCGTAAGACGCACTGACATTTTCCCCCCTTTTTTGGGGGGAAAAAAGTGCGTCTTATGGAGCGAAAAATACGGTACTTTTCTGGGGACAGCCCAAAATATGGGATTTGCTTTTACTTTCAATGAGAATGGTAAACAGGACAAATAGAGAGGGAGTTTCTCCTTAACAAATCCACAGACAGCAATAAAAACCTAATAGGTACTCTAATCCCTCTCCACTCTATCCAAAAACTAAAAAAAAAAAAAAAAGAAACAGTTTAGCTTTAAGTTATACTTTAATACATGAAACCATCAATTAAAAACTGCATTTTGTATTTACTCGGACTATCTTTGCATAATTTTAAAATTTGCTTGATGTGAATCATTTAAGGGTGACAAATAGGCAAAAAATTAGGAAGGCAGCAAATACGAATTCACAGCACTGTACACAGCAGACAAATTAAAATTACTTGCATTTAAGTACAGTTTAAGAAATGACACTAAATATTATTCATCTTTTATGTCTAGCAACATGTACAAATATGTGTAATAAACATTGTGATATTTACAGACAAAAACTATGTAGAAACTGCCCACCTTTGCTGGTCTGGTTTATATACACTTCAGCCTTCTGTCGAGGTAGGAAAGCTTTAGTCCCACCAATTCCCAAATCAATGAGATAGCCATGGTCTTCCACACTACACACAACACCGGTGAGATACTGGAGAGACAGAGCAGAGTTCAAGCTATAAAATATGCTTAACATCAATTACCTGACTTTTTTTTTTTTAAACCCCTTTGTGCCTAAGGGTAAAACAAATCTTAACGCCTAAGCACAATTTGGCAAATGTGTTAGCAAAACTGTACATATCACAATTACTTGCATAAAAGGTAGAGACTACCCTTTTTTTCCAGGACAAATTGGGCTTTCATTTGGTGGCAAATGGTAATAGTTATCTCCTGATTTTGTTTTTTTTTTTATTAATACACAAAATAGTAAAAAAAAAAATAAACCTTTTTAAATTTAGCTGTATATTTCTTGCTACTACCGTAACTTACCACCAAAGAACAACCCAAAATAATTTTTCCTACTCCTGACGATCGCAGTGATACCACATGTGTGTATGTTAGTTGTTTGTACCCACAGTACAGCCCACAAACAATAGTGTGCAATTTGCTTTTTTTTTTTTTTTTTTTTATATCCTGCCACTAACTGACAAACAAAAAACCCCGACCCTTACTTTTGACCCAAACACTAACCCTGGCACAGACATAGATCAAACCTTGATCTAGGTATTTTTAAATTATTTATTTACACACACTTTCTCTTTCTCGAGAATGTAACTCTCCTTTATTAGGAGAGGAAACAAGAAGGGGGGGGGGGGGGGGACTTCACAGTGACTAATCACGGACAGCCAATCAGAGGCCATCACGGCGATCAGGTGATCCGGAATCAGGAGTTCCGGGTCCCGATCGTTAAAATAGGACCCGGGACTTTCAGTGACACCCCAGTCTTTATGCTGGGAGCATGCCATGCGGCGAGCTCCCACCCGGAAGACAGGTATGCAATTTAGTGGCCCCTTAGAAATAAAAGCCCAGTTCTGTGCGGCCGGTAATTTGCGTGCGGTTGGCGTCAAGCTAGGTTTTTTTATTCTTACTTCTTTATGTTTACATCTATGATGCATAAAGAGACAAAAACTATGATCAACGTTTCTAAAAGGACTGTTTTGGTCAGATTCTACTTTTCTTAAGTGTTACCCTAACCAACACGTTTTTATTGTGGATACAGTGGGTCAGGGTTAGAAACCCTAAGATGTTTTTATTGACATGCCCCCAGCGGAGAGGTTTTTTTCTTCATTTGTTGTACCAGAAAAACAACTGAACGTGAATCAAACCTCCCCAATTCTGGAAATTGTCATCAGAATAGGTGCCCCCTCTGGAAGCAAGAACATTTGTATTTCTCCCCTCTCTCCGCCTTGGATATAAATAATCACAGCACAGACAGAATGCATCTCAGACAGTTTTTAACACTTACCTACACTATCCAAAACTTCAATTCAGTATTGTATCTGAGCAGCTGTGAACAGGTGTGGCCATTCTACTCTGCATTTTTTTTTTTTTTTTTTAAATAAAAAGGCGTTTTAACCAGAACTACTGCTGGCATTTCCTACCATTCTCTGTACACTGAAAAGACTGTAGTGTATAAAGACTTTCAGCCAGTCAGTAGTGCAACCAAAACATCTAGCAACAATCAATTTACTGACAAAGTCGCTAAGATCCCTCATCCTCCATATTGAACCACTTGATCGTGTCTACATGCTTATATATTGAGTTGCACCAACAAAGTTTACAGTTTAACCATTTCTCTTACTGGACATGTATACCTAATAAAGTGGACACTGAATGTAGCTCAGCTTCTGATATGGATGTTTAAGTAAAATATATTTTTTTCACATTTTCGCTTTCAAACACAATACTTTGCAGACATACCATGCCTGTGTGCAGAGAAGATGGAGCAAGATCCCTATTAACGAGTTTTGGGTTTAAGGACAATTTGATACTATTGAGACCACCAGACGTGGTCTCCAAATTGCTAATGGCACATCTGACCAGCATTCCTGGTGAATACAGGTCAGGAAGAGGAATCAGACCCTGATGGAAAAAAAAAAAAAATCATTATTATTAGGCAACATTAATTCCATAATAAAAAGCAAAAAACTATTTTGAGAATATTCTAAACTAATCAATGAAGCAGGTTTGCCAAGGATAACACTTACCTCCAGCAGTTCCTCTTTTTCCACTTGTTCATTAAGCATTTTTGTGTAGGCCTCAGAAATATTTGTTGCTTGAACAAAGCCTACGAGATTATAAGGCAAGCTTATAACCAGTTCAAAATCTTTGACCTCTTTGATGCATCCCAGAAACAACATCCCAACACTAAGGTCCTGCACAAGGAGAAAAAGACTTAATACAGGGGTGCAAAACTTAAAATATGAAGTCATAAGGCTGGAAACCTGAACATTTCTGGATCTAACCAGTTCTGGCAATCAAGTAAAAAAAAAATAAATTACTTCACCTAAAGCTGAAAACTCTGTGGTCTGTTAACCACTTGCCCTCCAGAGGATTTACCCCCCCCCCCCCCCCCCCTCCTGGCCAGGCCATTTTTTGTGATAAGGCGCTGTGTTACTTTAACTGACAATTGCGTGGTCATGCAACACCATACATAAATGAAATTTATTTAATTTTTTCCCCACAAATAGAGCTTTCTTTCAGTGGTATTTGATTGCCTCTGCGTTTTTTTATTTTTTGCACTATAAAAAAACCTCACAATTTTGAAAAAAGAAAAAGAAACAAAAGCAAAATTTTTGACTTTTTGCTATGAAACATATCCCAAAAAAAAAAAAAAAGTCAAAATTTAGGCCAAAATGTATTCTATTACTTGTGTTTGCTAAAAAAAAAAACCAATGTATGTAAAATGAATTGGGTTACGTGAAAGTTATAGCATCTACAAATGGCGGTATATATATATATATATATATATATATATATACATATATATACATACACATACATATACACACACACATATACACATACATATATACACACACATACATACATACACACATACACAGATTTTTTATATATATATATATATATATATATATATATATATATATATATATATATATATATATATATATATATATATATATATATATATATATATATATATACACACACACACACACACACACATATACACACATACACACACACACACATATACAGTCAGTCAGGTCCATAAATATTGGGACATCGACACAATTCTAACATTTTTGGCTCTATACACCACCACAATAATTTGAAATGAAACAAACAAGATGTGCTTTAACTGCAGACTGTGAGCTTTAATTTGAGGGTATTTATATCCAAATCAGGTGACCGGTGTAGGAATTACAACAGTTTGCATATGTGCCTTCCACTTGTTAAGGGACCAAAAGTAATGGGACAGAATAATAATCATAAATCAAACTTTCACTATTTAATACTTGGTTGCAAATCCTTTGCAGTCAATTGCAGCCTGAAGTCTGAAACGCATAGACATCACCAGACGCTGGGTTTCATCCCTGGTGATGCTCTGCCAGGCCTCTACTGCAACTGTCTTCAGTTCCTGCTTGTTCTTGGGGCATTTTCCCTTCAGTTTTGTCTTCAGCAAGTGAAATGCATGCTCAATCGGATTCAGGTCAGGTGATTGACTTGGCCATTGCATAACATTCCACTTCTTTCCCTTAAAAAACTCTTTGGTTGCTTTTGCAGTATACTTTGGGTCATTGTCCATCTGCACTGTGAAGCAGCGTCCAATGAGTTGTGAAGCATTTGGCCGATTATGAGCAGATAATATTCCCCGAAACACTTCAGAATTCATCCTGCTGCTTTTGTCAGCAGTCACATCATCAATAAATACAAGAGAACCAGTTCCATTGGCAGCCATACATGCCCACGCCATGACACTACCACCACCATGCTTCACTGATGAGGTGGTAGGCTTAGGATCATGAGCAGTTCCTTTCCTTCTCCATACTCTTCTCTTCCCATCCCTCTGGTACAAGTTGATCTTGGTCTCATCTGTCCATAGGATGTTGTTCCAGAACTGTGAAGGCTTTTTTAGATGTCGTTTGGCAAACTCTAATCTGGCCTTCCTGTTTTTGAGGCTCACCAATGGTTTACATCTTGTGGTGAACCCTCTGTATTCACTCTGGCAAAGTTTTCTCTTGATTGTTGACTTTGACACACATACACCTACCTCCTGGAGAGTGTTCTTGATCTGACCAACTGTTGTGAAGGGTGTTTTTTTCACCAGGGAAAGAATTCTTCGGTCATCCACCACAGTTGTTTTCCGTGGTCTTCCGGGTCTTTTGGTGTTGCTGAGCTCACCGGTGCGTTCCTTCTTTTTAAGAATGTTCCAAACAGTTGTTTTAGCCAAGCCTAATGTTTTTGATATCTCTCTGATGGGTTTCTTTTGTTTTTTCAGCCTAATGATGGCTTGCTTCACTGATAGTGACAGCTCTTTGGATCTCATCTTGAGAGTTGACAGCAACAGATTCCAAATGCAAATAGCACACTTGAAATGAACTCTGGACCTTTTATCTGCTCATTGTAATTGGGATAATGAGGAAATAACACACACCTGGCCATGGAACAGCTGATAAGCCAATTGTCCCATTACTTTTGGTCCCTTAACAAGTGGGAGGCACATATGCAAACTGTTGTACTTCCTACACCGTTCACCTGATTTGGATGTAAATATCCTCAAACTAAAGCTGACAGTCTGCAGTTAAAGCACATCTTGTTCATTTCATTTCAAATCCATTGTGGTGGTGTATAGAGCCAAAAATGTTAGAATTGTGTCGATGTCCCAATATTTATGGACCTGACTGTATATACACATACACACATATACTAGTAATGGCGGCGATCAGCGACTCCTAGCTTGACTGCGGCAGTCTGACACTGGGTGGGAACGGATTAATCCCACTGACACTAATACAGTGATCAGTGCTAATAAAAAGCACTGACACTGTGCTAATGACACTGGGCAGGAAGGGGTTAATCTGTGGCGCTCAAAGGGTTAACTGTGTGCTGTTTTACATAATGTGCTGTGTGTGTTTTACACAGAGAAATACACAGAAGCATGTTCTTGCTGTTTACGCACAGGTCTCTCCCTTGTCAGTGCTACTCGGTGATCGCCGGGAGCCGGCGGGGAATCTCTGGCTGGGACCAAGTGACTGACATCCATAGCCGCCAAAGGCAGCGGGGGTAGGGCTGTGAGCGCGCATTCCCCCTACTTGGAAATGCAAATCATGTATACACACATGTGATTTTGTGCAGCCCTTCTACTATAGGGCGGAGTGGCAAGCGGTTAAAGAAGTATGCGGTTTTCAAAATTAGAGAGTTACTAAATCTGCAATGTAAAAAACTGCTAGCAGATACGATATTTATGGTAGAAAAGACCCTCTATGATGCTTCTGCCATAACATTTCACCTTACCTGCTAAAATTTATTTTATAAGTTGTACATGCATGCACAGTTCAAGGTATAATTCAGTTAATTGTTAAATACCAACGCTGGAATAAATAAATAATAAACACACACACACCAGGTAAAATAAATACTGAACACGTAACCATTTTTCTTGGTAAATATATTTCTAAACGTGCCATTGACATGAGATTTTAACCACATCAGTAACATGCCATGCAATTCATACATACAAATAAACCAAAACAAATACGTTCAGAAATTAAGTTACTGTATGTGTAAAAAAATTGAACGACACAGGGAAAGAGTACTGAACACACTATCTGAAATTTATTTAATACTTCGTACAAAATCCTTTGTTGGTAATGACGGCTTCAAGACGCCTCCTGTATGGAGAAACTAGTTGCATGCATTGCTCAGGTGCGATTCTTGAAGGTTCTGTGGACCTCTTTTATGAACTCTCATTTTTAGTTCCTTCCATAGATTTTCTATTGGATTCAAGTCAGGTGATTGGCTGGGCCATTCTAACAGCTTTATTTTCTTTCTTTGAAACCAATTGAGAGTTTCCTTGGCTTTGTGTTTGTCATTGTTTTGCTGAAATGTCCACCCTTGTTTCATCTTCATCATCCTGGTAGATGGCAGCATATTTTTATCAAGAATGTCTTGGTATGTTTTTCCTTTTATCCTTCCTTCAGTGATAAGCAGTTTGCCAGTACCGTATGCTGAAAAAACAGCCCCACACCATGATGTTCCCGCCTCCAAACCTCACTGTAGGGATGAAGTTTTTTTGGGGTGATGTGCAGTGCCATTTGACTTCCAAACATGATGTGTATTATGGCATCCAAAGAGTTCAATTTTGGTCTCATCTGACCAGACTATATGCTCCCAGTATTTCACAGGCTTGTTTAAATGTGCAGCAAACTTTAACCGCCTCCCGCCCGCCATATTAGGTAATGACGGGCGCAAGGCGGTTCTCTTGTTCTGGGAGGACGTCATATGACATCCTCCCACTCTAACCAAGCATGCACAGCTCCAGGAGGGCGCAGCGCGACGATCGGTGGTGCGCTGTGTCCCTTGGACACAGCGGATCACCGATCAACGGAAAGAGCCGAAGATGTGGGCTCGGTCATGTGATCAGCTGTGTCCAATCACAGCTGATTGCATGTAAAATAGGGAAATGCCGGTTATCGGCATTACTCTCCACATGAGCTGTCACGCTGACAGCTCGAGAGGAGAGCAGAGTTGGTAATCGGCATTCCTCGGAGGGGACATGTACACTGATCATCAGGGCACTGATGATCAGTGTGTCCTGATGATCAGTGTAGCCCCAGCAGTGCCACCTGTCAGTGCCCATCAATGCCAGCTGGCAGTGCCCATTAGTGCCTCATCAATGCCACATATTAGTGCCTGCCAGTGCACATCAATGCCACATATCAGAGCCCATCTGAGCTGCCTTTCAGTGTCACCTATCAGTGCCGCCTAACAGTGCCCATCAGTGATGCCTGTCAATGCCCATCAGTACCACCTACTAATGCCTCATCAGTGCCTATCAGTGCCCATCACTGCAGCCTCATTAGCGCACATCAGTGAAGGAGAAAAATCACTTTACAAAACTAAAGAAAAAACTTTTTTTTCAAAATTTTCAGTTATTTTTGGTTTGTTTAGCAAAAAATAAAAAACCCAGAGGTGATTAAATATCACCAAAAGAAAGCTCTGTCTCAAAAAAATGATAAAAATTTCATATGGGTACAGTGTTGCATGACCGCGCAATTGTCATTCAAAGTGCGACCACGCTGAAAGCTGAAAACTGGCCTGGGCAGGAAGGGGGTATGAGTGCCCTGTAGGCAAGTGGTTAAATGAGCTTCAACATGCTTTTTCTTCTGCAATGGAGTCTTGTGTGGTGAGCATGCACACAGGCCATGGCAGTTGAGTGCATTACTTATAATTTCCTTTGAAACAATTGTACCTGCTAAGGTCTGGGTCTTTCTGGAGTTCTCCACAAGTGGTCCTTGGCTCAGTAATATATTTACAGAGAAAAATGGTGACGTGTTCAATACTTATTTCACATACATATACAATATCTCACAGAAGTGAATATCCCCCCCTTCACATTTTTGTAAATATTTTATTATATCTTTTCAAGGGATAACACTGAAGAAATGACACTTTGCTACAATGTAAAGTAGTGAGTGTACAGCTTGTATAACAGTGTAAATGTGCTGTCCTCTCAAAATAACTCAACACACAGCCATTAATGTCTAAACCGCTGGCAACAAAAGTGAGTACACCCCTAAGTGAAAATGTCCAAATTGGGCCCAGAGTGTCAATATTTTGTGTGACCACCATTATTTTCCCAGCACTGCCTTAACCCTCTTGGGCATGGAGTTCACCAGAGCTTCACAGGTTGCCATTGCAGTCCTCTTCCACTCCTCCATGATGACATCATGGAGCTGGTGGATGTTAGAGACCTTGTGCTCCTCTACCTTCCGTTTGAGGATGCCCCACAGATGCTCAATAGGGTTTAGGTCTGGAGATATGCCTGGCCAGTCCATCACCTTTACCCTTAGCTTCTTCAGCAAGGCAGTGGTCGTTTTGGAGGTGTGTTTGGGGTCGTTATGTTGGAATACTGACCTGCGGACCAGTCTCCTAAGGGAGGAGATCATGCTCTGCTTCAATATGTCACAGTACATGTTGGGATTCATGGTTCCCTCAATAAACTGTACGTCCCCAGTGCCGACAGCATTCATGCAGCCCCAGACCACGACATTCCCACCACCATGCTTGACTGTAGGCAAGACACACTTGTCTTTGTACTCCTCACCTGGCTGTCGCCACACACGCTTTACTCCATCTGAACCAAATAAGTTTCTTCGTCTCATCATACCACAGGACATGGTTCCAGTAATCCATATCCTTAGTTTGCTTGTCTTCAGTAAACTGTTTGCAGGCTTTCTTGTGCATCATCTTTAGAAGAGGCTTCCTTCTGGGTCGACAGCCATGCAGACCAATTTGATGTAGTGTACGGCATATGGTTTGAGCACTGACAGGCTGACCCCCACCACCCCTTCAACCTCTGCAGCAATGCTGGCAGCACTCATACATCTATTTGCCAAAGACAACCTCTGGATATGACTCTGATCACGTGCACTCAACTCCTTTGGTCGACCATGGCGAGGCCGGTTCTGAATGGAACCTGTCCTGTTAAACCGCTGTATAGCCACCGTTCTGCAGCTCAGTTCCAGGTTCTTGGCAATCTTCTTATAGCCTAGGCCATCTTTATGTAGAGCAACAACTCTTTTTTTCAGATCCTCAGAGTTCTTTGCCATGAGGTGCCATGTTGAACTTCCAGTAACCAGTATGAGAGAGTGACAGTTATAACACCAAATTTAACACACCTGCTCCCCATCCACACCTGAGACCTTGTAACACTAACGAGTCACATGACACCGGGGACAGAAAATGGCTAATTGGGCCCAATTTGGACATTTTCACTTAGGGGTGTACTCACTTTTGTTGCCAGCGGTTTAGACATTAATGGCTGTGTGAGTTATTTTGAGGGGACAGCAAATTTACACTGTTATACAAGCTGTACACTCACTACTTTACATTGTAGAAAAGTGTCATTTCTTCAGTGTTGTCACATGAAAAGCTATACTAAAATATTTACAAGAATGTGCGGGGTGTACTCACTTCTGTGTGAGATATATATACACACATAGATATATATATATATATATATATATATATATATATATATATATATATACATACATACATACATACACACACACATATACACACACACACTATACATACATAGCAAAGCACCTACATCTAAAATTTTAGGTTAAGAGGGTTTACAAACCTTATAACTTAGCAGCTCCACTGCTTTCACTTTTGCAAATGAGCCCCTGTCATGCTGTGCTGCCTTTGAAGTTTCATTCAGTTCTTTCTTCTTTTTCTTTCTAATAGCCTTCTCCTCTGCTTCTTCATGGTAGGTCTATGTTATACCAAGGAATACATTAACAAAGGAAATTAAAATGTACAGTACAAACTGTGCAATTATTTATCAACCTACAGTACCCAAGGCCACGGAAAGTCAAACAATATAGTTTTGAGATCAATGCAAAGGTTTAAAAACGAGGGAGGAGGAAAGAGGGAGGAGGAAGAGAAGGACACAAATCCATTTAGTCCAACCAATACAAAAAAAAAAAAAAACACAAATAGAAAACTCTACACTCAAAGTTTATCCAGCAGAAGGCAAAAGCATACCAAGTAATTTCCAGGCAGCTTCTGGGACAAGTGTGTGGAGTTTGACCTAAACAGCAGGCTGCCACTTAAACACGATGCCAAGAATTTTAAACTTGGGTCCACTTTGCACTTTAGAAACACAGTTCGGATGCGTTTCTGCATGTACATTTTTGATGCATTTTTTGTCTTCTGGTGTATTTTTTCTCTTCTTTTTGTTTTCCCCACCTTAAATAAGGACATGTGCGTTCCGGTCTGTTTTTTTATGCATTTTACCGCATTCCATTACAGTTCAGTGCAGAAAAAAAATGCAGCATGTTCTACTTTGTTTTTCAGGAATTGTAACTAACTGCACTGGTGTGAACTGTGACACTGTAAACCATTTAACCTATTTATGCGTTTTTGATGCAGAAAAAAAAAAAAAAAAAAAAAAAAAAAAAACACACCACACTGGACTGCATGTGGTGAGAACCTGCCCAAAGAAAAAAAAAACTGCTGTTGTATATTGTGACATGCCAGGAATGTATTCATAAAGATTTATAAAGTTACTTACTGAAAGTAACTTTCATTAAAGCCCAACTTTGGGAAATCTGAAAATTCTCCTTTGCAGTGCGGCTGTCCTGCAAGGGTAACTGCTTGTTTAGGTCAAGGGAAGAGTAAAAGTACTTTCACTTACCCAACCCTCTGCTCCTCCAGCAGATGGTTCACCCCCATGCTCTAGCAGTTGACTGCCCCTCGGCGACCTCACGCCCAATACAGGGCTATGGACCCTGTATCGGTCTTGATGATTTTAGGACCTTGAACTGCTGACGCTTTAAAGCCTAGCTCCATTTTCCCTTTAAAATAGTTTGTTTGAGCCAGCTTGACTCTAACAAACTATTTCCTTTCCCAATTGCCCTGGCTGCTGTATGCACTGCATAAAATGTATGCACCATCAGCTACATACAATACACAGCACTGCATTTCAAAAGCAGTCTAAGGGACCTACGGTCTGCTGTCGGCAAAAAATAGAGTCAGGCTGAGAGCTTCTCTGCCATTCACAGGGACCCTTGTTTTTTTATCAATAAAATACATGGCTTCCTCAGATTTGCTGAGGAGAGGCACAAGGATGTTGTCACAATGTCCACCCCAGCCATTTAGAGAAAGCCTTGTATTCATAGATCAAATAAAAACAAAGCTTCCTGTGGCTGGCTGAGAAACTCTCAACCTATTTTGATTCTGTAGCAGACAGGAGAGGATGCTACATACAGTTTAGCAGCACTGACAGTAACCATAGCAGTTAGTAAAGAAAATAGTTTGTTTGGGCCAGCTTTACCCAGACTACCTAAAGTGAAAGGAAAGATGAAGTCAGGCTTTAAAGAGCTAGACACTAAACTGCACTAAAATATCAACTGAGCATGATTAAATAAACTGAACAAAATTCCACTGACTTCCTTCCGTAAAACACATTACAGGCCTCTGATGGCCAACAAAATGTCACTGATAACAGAATTCATCCCGAATATCAATCAGTAACTGTTATGAGACAGTAAGCTCATGATGGACTGCACAGTGGAGGGTTTTACTACAGTTATTTGTAATGATTAATAAAATATAGTCTCTCATAGCTCACAGTTTGAGTCCGCAAATAATGTTCATAGGATAAGACAACAAGAAGTGTGGAAAAGAAGCCCAGCTGGAAGGGAGAAAAATCAGAAAAAGAATACTTATTCCTGGAGAAGATACTCCAAAACTGGTATTATAAAATGTAGTGGTAGCTCAGGGCAATGAGTACAAGTAGCCAGCAACCTGTAGTAACAGTCAGTGCAGGGTAGGAGTCTGGGATAGATGGAGAAGTAAAGGGATCAGCAAGTTACGCAGCTAAGGAACATCAGATCAGGGAAGGATCCTCAGCAACAGTATAGAAGACACAAAGTAGCCAAGCGCAAAAGTTAATAAAACATTGTAACATTTATTGAGAAACAAAATATCCACACTTATATGCGAGGTAAACAAGGTGCTGCTTGATCATGGAGGGAAAACATGGATGGAATGCAGAGCCTGCAAAGCGGCAGCAGCAGCTGTCACAAATATGGATGGAGCTAGACCTACCAAAAAGGAGTAGCGGCAGAATCTACAGCCATCCTCAAACAAACCGGGAGATGAGAAGAGGGGCGTGTACAATGTGTTTCAGAGGCCCCACCTCCTCTCACACCCCCTTCCAATCTCCCAATGGTATAATGATTTATTAACCCCTGTGCTTTGGCTATTTTGTGTCTTCTATATTTACAAAGTATTAGCCCTATAAATATCATCTCATACTTGGTTTTACAGGTCAAATAAAATAGAACAGTTTTATCTCCAAAAAATAATGTTTCAAAGATTTTTTTTTTTTCAATTTTAGGCACACATTAGGGACTTACAGAAAAAAGGTTGTCATCCTCTCTCGGCCTCTTTTTAGTGGCTGTTTCCTCAGACTTCTTCAGGGTCCCCCCACGGGGAAAACACTCCTCCATTTCCTTTGTTTTTGTATCTTTGTAAATAACAAGAAAACAATTATTATTGAGTGACACAATAAGTTCTATTTAGGCCCCTTTCACATGGGCCGAATCGGTTTTACTCAGCAGGGGATCTGTCCACTAATTTCCTGCTGAGCGGATGACAGGTCCGTGTCCGCTCCACTTATGCAGAGAGGACACAGCCCACTCTGCTCTATGGACAGTCGGATGTAAACAGACTGGTTGTCTACATACACCCGACTGCCCTCCAATCCGATCCACCCACACAGAGGGAACAGATCCCCTTCAGTCTGTTTTTGTCTGGTCTGAGTGGAGGCAGAGGGGTGTAAAGAAATACAAGTCTATTTACATCCTCTGCTCCATAAAGGAGAATGTAGGGCCCTTGGAGACGGATCCGATCAGACCACTCGTATGACAGGGGCCTTATGTAGACAACTTATTTGGACCTACGGCCCCTACTGTAAGGTTGCCCAGTTGATATATTGTATTGCAAAAAGTTTAGTTGCACTAGATACGACTCATGTCTTTATGCTCTGGTCTCAGTTACTGTGGGGAAAATGCTTATTTGATCCCCTGCAGATTTGGTAATTTTGCCCACTTACAAAGGAATGAAGGGTCTATAATTTTTATCATAAGTGTACGGTAATTTAAATAATAGAGACAGAAGATCAACCAAACAAGTTGTCTCCTTCTCACCAAGCTTCTTCCTTATGGTCTTGTAGCTCATTTCAACCTTGTGCGGGTCTACAATCTTGTCCCTGATGTCCTTTGATAGCTCTTTGGTCATTTGCCCATGATGGTGAGGTTTAAATAGGGGAAAGAGATTCTGTGAACAGGTGTCTTTTATACACATAACAAGTTGTCGTTAGGAGCACCTTCTTAAACTGACAGGACTAATCTGTTACCACATGAGTATATATCCAGTCTGTGGGAGCCAAAATCATTGTTGGCTGGTAGGGGATCAAATACTTATTTTACTCACTGAACTGCAACTCAATTTATAACTTTTGTATAATGTGTTTTTTCCAGATTATTGGCCGATATCCTGTCTCTATCATTTAAAATACAACTATGATAAAAATTACAGACCCCTCATTTCTTTGCAAGTGGGCAAACTTACAAGATCTAAAAGGGGATCAAATAATTATTTTCCCCACTGTATGTACCCCCTGCCTGGGTGATTAGTTGTCATGTCATTTTTGCGTGCAACAATAAAAATTATTGTACCAGAAAGGTGCCTTATGCTCATAAGTGCTTCTTGACTGCAGGAAACCATTCCTAAATAAAAAGACTGCCAAGATAAATTTGTCTGCATTTCTTGCAAATATTGGGCTGTTCATTTTCAACTTCAGACACAAATATTTTAAAGTGGGAATGAAAATGGACGGACAGGCAGGATTTTCAATGCAGAAGAGACATGCTTTGTCTCTTCTGCACTTAAGTTACTTACCTACCTGTTTGTCCATATAAAGTGAGCCACATACATGCAACTTACAGCACAAATTCAGCAATACCGAAGCTGACCGAACTCCAGCACATACACAGGAGTGAGGTCATCTTGACCCGGCCAATGACAGTGGCCAGTAATTGAGACCCTGAGGTCAGCTGCCTGAAGGGGTCAAACAGCCAGCAGGGAGTTCCGAAACAGTGCATTGCTGGATTAAAAGTAAGCATAATTCCACTTTAACATCACAACAAAATATCAGCATGCCATATACATGGGACAGTGTGTCCACTGCTTAAAGTGACAATAAAACTAACTTTTTTTTTTTCTTTTTGTTGTAGGCAATTCCTACAGCTGAGGTTGAGACATACAGTTGATGTTTCTTCCTAATGTATTGCATTTCTCCTGTTTTTTGCATTCAAAATGTCAACTCAGGCCTAGCAAACCTTTTTCTTTGCAGGGTGGCTTCTTTACCCTACAGGGTCCCAAGGAGCCACCTGAGCGTGAGCACTCCTGGGTGGGAGCAGTCAACATCCATATGCGCATGCGGCCCTTAAGCTTAGAAACGGCAAGCCATTCCCCTGCTTCCACCTTCTCAAAACCAATAGACGGACAGCTGCTGTCCCTGATGAGCTCTTACACTGAAGGTGCTCTCCTAACAGGAAGTTGCAAACATACACGTGATTGGCACATAAATGAACTAAATGTATTTGGGAAGGCGTCCCTGGCTAATAAGAACACATTTGCTTAAAAAAAAAAAAAAAAAAAAAAAAACTTTGAAGAGTTTAAAACTACTGTAAAGTGACCCTGTTATTACCAAACAATTTTAAAACTGTAAAAATAAAAATCTCTAATACTTTTACCAACAAATGATGCCAAACTGTTAATGTGTATTTTTTTTCTTTGCGGCTTCCACTTACATCCTCCAGTGCTCCACACACTTCTAATCATATACCATATGTCAAATCTTATGATGCAGTGTTGCATTCAATATACATTATACTGTATATTATAGCAGATTGAATGGGTACCTGGTTTGGAAGTTCACCCCTCTGCCTTTGCCCACAGCCTTCTGGGACAAGTCACTGGTCTCAGAAAGCTACGGGACCATTCACAAAGCACAGCGGGAAGCCAGCTGTGAAGCTGCAAACAGTTACAGCTGGCTTCCCACACCAGACATGGTGGTGCTGGTTACCTGAAGACCAGTGAAGAACCAGCCTGGGTGAGGAGGGCTTTGGATCCCTAGACAGGTGAGTGTCCTTTTATTAAAAGTCAGCAGCAACAGTATTTGTAGCTGCTGAGGTTTAAATTTTGCTGAACCAACTGAAGAACCACTTATGGCTCGGTTCACACTGCCATGACTTGGGCTCATACTTGTGAGTCCCCAAGTCGCATGACATGTGACATCCCATGTTAGTCAATGAGAGTTGTTTTAATTAGCACTATTGAAGTCGCTCCAATTTTAGAAAAGGTTCCTGTACTACTTCAAGGTAACTTCTATACCACTTGTGTCCATATACTTTAATAGAAGTAGATTCTCATCTATACTGATGTGATTTGGATCCGACATTACAGGAAGATTACCCAGGCATTCACTTAAAGTCGCTTCAAAGTAGTACTCAAGTTGCCTGGCAAAGTCGCACTGCAAGTCCTGCGACCTTCAGGTACCAGTAGTGTGAACAAAGACTTAATGAGGAAAGAGAAGAATAAACAAATATTCAGTTTTATTACATTCCTTTGCACTACTTGTTCTGATGTCCACCTGACAAGACAGACTGAACCCGTATCCACATGCACATGCTTAATTTAGTGTGTATTGCTAGAGAGGTTTTCTTTCTTGGGAGAGTGCATGTGATCAGCACAGGGCCAATCAGCACTGTGCAGACAGAGGATCAGGGGTTTTGCATCCTCCTAGAGCAGAAATAAAACTTATCCTACAAGCTTTAACCAGAGCTCTGCTAAAGTCACAAGACTGCTCTAACTGTTGATGAGAAAATGTATTTAGCAGTTTATATTTACTAAAATTATTGCATTTCCATGTTCTGTGTACTGTGGGAGACCAGATATAGTGAATGCAGGGTCCTGGGTTTAGCAACACTTTAACCACTTGCCTATCAGGACAACTCTGACATTTCTACCCTACGTGCAAAATTTTTTTTTTTTTGCCAGAAAATTACTTATATCCCCCAAACATTATATATTTTTAAGCAAAGGCCCTAGAGAATAAAAAGATGGGTGTTGCAAATATGTTACATGGTAGTTGAGCAGCGGTTTTTCAAACGCAAATTTGTGGGAAAAATACACTTTAAGGAATTTTAGTGAACACAATATAATACCACATTTTCTGGTAAAATATAAGATGATGTTGTACTGAGTAAATAGATACCAAACATGTCACATTTTAAAATTGCACAGGTTTGTGGAATGGCGACAGACTACAGTACTTTAAATTATCAATAGGTGATGCTTTAAAAGTTTACAGTGACATAGGAGGTCTGGTGCTAGGATTACTGCTCCCACTCACGTTTGTGGTGATACCTCATAGGTTGTGCGATCACTGTTTATATATGTATACGATCACTTTTAATTTCATTATTTATTTATTTTTATATTTTAAACAAAATTTTAACCACTTTTTCTTTGTTGTCACAAGGAATGTAAACATCCCTTGTGACAGCAATAAACAGTGACAGGTACTCATAATGAAGAGATCTGGGGTCTCTTAGCAAAGCAGTTCATCAGCTTATGCACATGCAGTGCACCAACAAGGAAAGTCGCAGTGTCTGCATCCCTTTAGAAGTGATTAACCCTTTTGGAGAATCTCACCAAAAACTACATTTTGTTTTCATGGGATGCCTAAAATCTGACTTGTGCAGCCTTCTGGAAAACTCAGTGAAACAAACAAACAGGAAATTACATTTCTGGGTAAATTCTGGACACCAACTGTGTACAGAACGCCTTCAGACTGCCATATTGCATTGAATTTTACAAATGTTACAGCGCTTCAGATCTGGACTTCAGCAGAATATGGATCTTGGCAGAGAGAAGAAGCAGGAGTGGGGATACTGTATGGGAAGATCTCAGGCTGCCTGTTTATGCACTGATGTATTCCTAATGCCAGAAGCCTGCACAAGGGTGTCTTTATAGGTCCCTGTGAGGGAAAGGAGACACCTTCAAACAGGAGTCTGTGGAGATTGTAGAACTTGGGAAAAGAAAAGGCTGCACACAGGAAGAGGAGGAGGCAGCAGAACATGTGATTCATTCAAATACCGAACTTCATTTACAAAAAAAAAAAAAAAGTGGTGTTCATAGTATAACTAAAGGCAAAACTTTTCTTTTAGTTATGGATAGGGTGGAGAGGGATTAGCACCCGTCTTGTTTTCATTGCTGCTTGTGTTAGGGAGATTCATCCTCTCTTTTTGTCCTGTGCACAGCCATCACCCTGAGTGACAAAATCGTCCATTTGAGGATGTCACCAGAATAAAAACAACGTTTAGCTAGTTTAGAATAGGTTTTTGGTGACAACCAGGGATTTTCTCACAATAGAGGGATT